CCAGATGTTCAAACTGGATTCAGAAAAGAAAGAGTCTGTCAGCAGATTATGATGGAATCATGACACAAGTTTTTATTCCACTCCACTAATCAGATAACAGAAATCTGATACTTCTTGAGATATTCCTGTGAATGGCATGGGGTCAATGAATTCCCTGAACCTGCCTAGAAAAAGCTGCCCTCAGTAAGTATGCTGAAATACCCCAGGACAGTCATTGTAGGGACCTGAACACCTACTGAGATGCCATGTCCGCTAGCTAAGCTGGTGCATCTTTTGGTAAGATAGGAAGAAGATAAACTAGCAGGAACCCTAACATCCCATATATTCAACACCACAATCATAAAGCAAAAGCTAGCTTGCTGTTTATGCTGGAAATTTGTAATTTCTGTCCCCCTGCCCTTAATTTGATCAGTTGAGGTAAAATAGGTGCATCTGTATGCAGCCAGGTTTTGGTCACATAAAACAGGTCTATATGCTTTTTTAAGATTAAGCTCCAGTAAGATTATTGTTAGCTTTGACATTGTCTGTTGGGGACACTGAATACAGCACCACCACCTCCTATGCAGGTAGCTGATGCTGTTAAGGTTGACAGTAATGACTCACTGGGTAGATGGACAAGTACAGCAGTGTGTGGTGTTCATGTGTTTGTGTCTTTTTTAAGATTAAGCTCCAGTAAGATTATTGTTAGCTTTGACATTGTCTGTTGGGGACACTGAATACAGCACCACCACCTCCTATGCAGGTAGCTGATGCTGTTAAGGTTGACAGTAATGACTCACTGGGTAGATGGACAAGTACAGCAGTGTGTGGTGTTCATGTGTTTGTGTCTGGTTTCAAACTGATTTCAGAAGACTAAAAACATCAGTGAAATTGTTTTGAGATTTGTATTCTGTGATACAAGGAATGTCGTAAGCCTTAGGGTACAAAGAAAAACATTTTACTACATTTAGCTCCTTTTGATGACAAATATGTACAGTTCCAATATTTCCCTCTGATCACCTGTCTTTATTTAGTAATTGTAAAGGAGCTTTCAGCAAATTATAAATTGTGCTAGAAAGTTACCCAAGTTTACCCTGGTATTTTTATTAGACAATAAATAGACTAATTCAAGCAATATAATAAATTTGCAACATTTCCTATGGTTGTCTTCATTGGGTTTATTGTGAGAACTGGTTCAATTACTTGGCATCAGTAATTGCACCTCTAGATAGGTTATACACATTTTCAGGTAAATGTGGCTGCACTGTATATGGACAGTAAACTGTCTCATCGATTTTTGGTTGATAACATGTTAATTGTTCTAGTAAGCACAACAAAAAAGCAGGACTGAAATTATTCTTGTGGTAGCCTTGGGATGATTTTTAAAAAAAATATTAAAGTGAGTTATGTTTTAAAAGAAGGGTATTTAATCTACTTTATTTATGTATTTAGGAAGACATACTTTAAAAGAAGTTTTGATGAATGAGATAGTCAGTGATTTTGTTTATTTCCTTCTGTAGCTGTTTTATGCGTTCCAAGATGACCGTTACCTTTATATGGTGATGGAATACATGCCTGGTGGGGACCTGGTGAATTTAATGAGCAACTATGATGTTCCTGAGAAATGGGCACGATTTTATACTGCAGAGGTTGTTCTTGCATTAGATGCAATTCACTCCATGGGCTTTATTCACAGGTTTGTATGCTGTTTTTAATATCTGAGACCAGTGTTTCAGCTAGTATTTTGTATTAAAATAAAAGGTAAGCATCGCCACTGATTTAATCTTTCTATGATAACCATCCCTGAATGTAGTAAAATTTTCAGCTTGAGAACAAAGAAGATGAGGGTGGTGCTAGGAAGTATAGGTAAAGGTTTCCCTTGCTTGAACTTGCTGTTTATGCTGGAAATTTGTAATTCCCTGCCCTTAATTTGATCCGTTGAGGTAAAATAGGTGTATCTGTATGCAGCCAGGTTTTGGTCACATAAAACAGGTCTATATGCTTTTTTTAAGATTAAGCTCCAGTAAGATTATTGTTAGCTTTGACATTGTCTGTTGGGGACACTGAATACAGCACCACCACCTCCTATGCAGGTAGCTGATGCTGTTAAGGTTGACAGTAATGACTCACTGGGTAGATGGACAAGTACAGCAGTGTGTGGTGTTCATGTGTTTGTGTCTGGTTTCAAACTGATTTCAGAAGACTAAAAACATCAGTGAAATTGTTTTGAGATTTGTATTCTGTGATACAAGGAATGTCGTAAGCCTTAGGGTACAAAGAAAAACATTTTACTACATTTAGCTCCTTTTGATGACAAATATGTACAGTTCCAATATTTCCCTCTGATCACCTGTCTTTATTTAGTAATTGTAAAGGAGCTTTCAGCAAATTATAAATTGTGCTAGAAAGTTACCCAAGTTTACCCTGGTATTTTTATTAGACAATAAATAGACTAATTCAAGCAATATAATAAATTTGCAACATTTCCTATGGTTGTCTTCATTGGGTTTATTGTGAGAACTGGTTCAATTACTTGGCATCAGTAATTGCACCTCTAGATAGGTTATACACATTTTCAGGTAAATGTGGCTGCACTGTATATGGACAGTAAACTGTCTCATCGATTTTTGGTTGATAACATGTTAATTGTTCTAGTAAGCACAACAAAAAAGCAGGACTGAAATTATTCTTGTGGTAGCCTTGGGATGATTTTTAAAAAAAATATTAAAGTGAGTTATGTTTTTAAAGAAGGGTGTTTTAATCTACTTTATTTATGTATTTAGGAAGACATACTTTAAAAGAAGTTTTGATGAATGAGATAGTCAGTGATTTTGTTTATTTCCTTCTGTAGCTGTTTTATGCGTTCCAAGATGACCGTTACCTTTATATGGTGATGGAATACATGCCTGGTGGGGACCTAGTGAATTTAATGAGCAACTATGATGTTCCTGAGAAATGGGCACGATTTTATACTGCAGAGGTTGTTCTTGCATTAGATGCAATTCACTCCATGGGCTTTATTCACAGGTTTGTATGCTGTTTTTAATATCTGAAACCAGTGTTTCAGCTAGTATTTTGTATTAAAATAAAAGGTAAGCATCGCCACTGATTTAATCTTTCTATGATAACCATCCCTGAATGTAGTAAAATTTTCAGCTTGAGAACAAAGAAGTTGAGGGTGGTGCTAGGAAGTATAGGTAAAGGTTTCCCTTGCTTGAAAGCTAGTTGAATCTGACTCTAGGGTTGCGGTGCTCATCTCCGTTTCCAAGCTGAAGAGCCAGCGCTGTCCAAAGATATTTCCGTGGTCATGTGGCCGGCATGACTGGACGCCAAGGCACACGGAACGCTGTTATCTTCCCACTGAAACGGTACCTTTTTATCTACTTGCAATTTCTTGCTTTCGAACTGCTAGGTTGGCAGGAGCTGGAACCAGAGATGGGAGCTCACTCCATCATGTGGCACTCGGGTCTCGAACTGCTGAACTACTGACCTTCCAGCCTGCAGTTCAGCATTATTTTCTACTTCTGCCCTCATCTGTAAGGATGTTGAAACACAAATGAGAACTGATTTGAGACTGGCCCCATGTTTTTCAAATTCACCTTCTAAGGTTCATATAGCCAATTTTTGCATGTAAGGAACTGGGTTATTTTGCTCACCCCTGACCACAAGTTGCCAGTAAACCCATGTATTCTCATATTGGCTTTATACATTTGTCATATACTTGGTGCTTAATAATTTTTCTCACATTTTTATTTTGTTGTTCCTCAGAGAGCTCAGTCGAACATATAAAATTTGCAAATGTATACTACTTGTGATATTGCATGTACAAATCTTTTTTCTGGAAACAATTAAAAACATTTGCTTTATTCTTTCTAGAGATGTAAAACCTGATAATATGCTGCTTGATAAATCTGGTCATTTAAAACTAGCAGATTTTGGTACCTGTATGAAGATGAATAAGGTTGGTATGTTTAAATGCTGCATTAACCTCTTATGCCAAGAGCACCTAGGTTTTTTCAGTAGTGGGACGCATGATCAGAAATCTGTTTTTATGCTGGCAGCATTAATTCTTATTGACAATAATAATGAAACATAGTCTGTTAGCTATTAAAATATAGTCTGTTAGCTATTTCAGTAGTAATACATAAGCAGTCAAAAACAGTTTAATCAACTTTATTCATATGAAGGACATAGAGGCCTAGTGCTAATAAATTATCAGTTTTGGTCAAGTGAATGAGAATATGGTTGTTTAACAGACTGAACCATTCTTGAGTAATATAAGGTGTATGTAACCGTGGCACATTTCACTGCTGACTCCATTTTTACCTCTGGTTCAGTTTCAGCAGTGTGATGGAAGACATTGTAGTCTCTGAGTCAGGTAGATTCAAAATGATGCCCAAAGTGTGGCCACATAGCCAAAAAATTCATGATAGTTTCAGAATTCTTATAGTAGTCCCCCAAAATTCCAGGGGATACCATGTCTTCTTAATGGGCATAGTTCACTTCAGCCCAGCCAGTTCCTCTTGAAACTGAGGCACATTGATTGGGCAAATGCTTGTCAGTAATTCTTCATAATGTCCCAGTTTCATGGTGAAATTGCAGCTCAATTTTTTTTTTTGCTTGAAAGCCTAGGTGGGTTGCATTTGGTCCATGGGCCAAATGTTGGCCACCGTTGCTCTATGCTTTTGAATAACATGTTTTTCTTGGAGTTTTTTTTTTTTTATAACAGTGTTTCAAATATCTGATGGGCTTCAACTATAATAATATTTTTCTAAGCCAAATTTTACAATTTTCTTCAAAGGAAGAAATTTGGAAAAATTCACTGAGTGAATTTTCTTTCTCCTGTATAGGAAGGTATGGTACGATGTGATACAGCTGTTGGAACTCCAGACTATATATCTCCAGAAGTATTAAAATCTCAAGGTGGTGATGGTTACTATGGGCGGGAATGTGACTGGTGGTCAGTTGGCGTCTTTTTGTATGAAATGCTTGTTGGTGAGTATCAGAAGGATCTGTGTTTTGTAAATGGCATTCATTGTATTTCTTACTCTTTCTCTTTCTGAGTTGTTTAAAATAGCTGTTTTAATTTAGCAGTTATGTATTTGCTATTTACAGATTGTTATTTTGTATATAATTCTGTGCAAGACAAACTCTTGATCTCAGTAAAACTGACATTATGTTTGAATGAAAGTAATATTACAATTAGTTTTAGCACAAACCACGTTCCTAATTATTTAGTAAGATCCCTTTTGTAGCTCATTCCCAAGAAGTTTTCTTTGGATGTGTTTGTGTGTTTCCTGAGCAAGCATGTTGAGTCTATGGTTGATATAACAAAAAAATTATTGGTTTGCAAGTAGAAATAATTATATAACCGGTTCATTTTCGTAGTTTCTGTGCAGTCCTACATTGGGACTGCATGTGTGCAGGTCAGCTGCGGAAAAGATTTCCAAAGCTTTCTAGTAGACTAGGAGCACCCCTCCTCCCTCTGGTGCCTTCCCGCCAAAGCAGTCACATGACTAGGAGGAGGGGCGCTACTCCCCCAGTTCTCTTTTTGCTGCTGTGGAGAGAGGTTCTCCACTGCTCTCTGTTTTTATCCTCACTTCATTCTTGAGGCTGAGGAGTCTTGTTTCTCTCATAAATTTTCTTTTTGTCACTGATACTCATTCTATTGAAGAATAAACTATATTTAAAGAAGAAATGGTTCTGGATTTCCAGTGTGTCATTATGGTTCAAACGGGGCCTACTCAGGATTGCACCGTGCCTTAACTACCTAGGGGTCCACCCATCACAGCTGCTTGCTCTTGCTATCGCCAGTTTCCCCTGAAGGCATGATTAGATAGAGCTGGACTCAGAAGAGTTCTTTTTCAAAGGCTTTGGCTGTGCACCAGCCTAAATAAAGACATATTTACTGCTCTTTGGCTTTGTCTGCTCTGAGGGAAGAAACCTGGAGGTGTTGCCTAACAGAACTTCTGATTCAGAATGGCTCTTTTCATTGTCGTTGTCCTGTGCAGTCCCAAATGGATTCTGTGCAGCCTGCAGGCCAGCCACTGGGAGATCTTTTTCTCTAGCTTAGCAACAGAAAGCAACTTTCTTTTCAGGATGTCTTTATACTTGTGCTACAAAAATGACGATGAACACATACTGTATGTCTGGTCTATCTTGAAAAGTCTCATAATGTTTCCTCATGCCCAGTTTGCCAGAAGTAATCCAGCAAGTGATTTTGCTTAATAGTTTTGCAGGAGTACAAAAAGCCAAACAAACAAAAAATAGCCCTCTTAAAAAACTTTTATAGCTACCATTATCCTACAGATGAGGTGGCTCAAGTGGTTAAGGTGCTGAACTGCAGGCTGTGGAAGGTCAGTAGTTCAGCAGTTCAAGACCCAGGTTGCTGCATGACGGAGTGAGCTCCCATCTCTAGTTCCAGCTCCTGCCAACCTAGCAGATCGAAAGCAAGACATTGCAAGTAGATAAATAGGTACCACTTTGGTGGGAAGGTAACAGCGTTCCGTGCACCTTGGTGTATAGTCATGCCGGCCACATGACCACGGAAACGTCTTTGGACAGCGCAGGCTCTTCGGCTTTGAAACGGAGATGAGCACCGCAGCCCTAGAGTCGGACTCGACTGGCTTTCGAGCAAGGGAACCTTTACCTTTACCTTTATCCTACAGTAAGAGACTAAACTTCTTTCTTTCATCCACATGGTCCCTTTTCTTGGAGAGATTTTTTACGGGTTTCTCACTCATTTGCAAGTAGCCTAGTTAAAGTTGGTATATATGCAGATCAACATCCAGTGATTGTGCAAATTGAATTTGTAAGTGTTAAGAGAAGACCTAATTGGACATTAAATAAATACTTAAAACGGAATCTGAAATTTATTAAGAAAGAAATAATTTTCAAAGTTGTGGGAGTTGTTTAAGGCATACATAAAAGGGAAGTTGATCTCACAACAAAGCCATTTAATGAAGAACAGAGAAAAGACACAATTAGAAATTGTTGGAGAAATAAAATATTGGATAAATTATCAGGTAATGATGAAGACAAAAAATATTTCTTTGCAGGAAAGATTTAAAACATATAATGCGTGTCTTACAGCAAGATCTTTGGTGAATGACCGACAAGAATTATTTGAAAATGGAAAAGAAAATGGTATACCTGTTGTAAGGCTACTTGCTGGAAAACTAATTGATAAAAATCCTACCCTTATCAAAAAAGCAGCAAGGAAAATGCTTCTTTCATATAAGGAGACTGACTCAATCAAGTTTATTACAGTCATAGACCAGTATAATAGAAGACAAGTAGATACAGTTAAGGGAGCAGTAAAATTATAAAATATAATGGCATCTAAAATTATAAATAAGGATCTAAAAACTTTAAAATACAGAAATAATAGAATCAAAATTATGATCAAAAGTTAGGTTTAGGCCTATAAGGAGACTGCAGAAGAATTTTTATTCAGAGCTATATAGAGAAGAAAGTGCAACAATTAAAATATATTTTTAGAAAAAACTGAGTTTGCCACAAATTAACCTTACACATAAAAACATGGTTGCCAGTAGAGTTTGAGGAACTTAAGATGTTGTAAGTGAATTGAAACAAGAGAAAGCTCCAGGTCCGGATGGTTTTTGTGTAGAATTTTATGTTGCGTGCTGTGTCGAACCATCTACCTTCTACTTTGTAGATGCAGAAAAGGACTTTGATAGAGTCAACTGGCAGTTTTTGTCAGCATTTCTGGAAAAAATATAAATAGGCTGTTATTATTATAAATGAATATCTGCATGAAACAGCAGAAATGGGGAAATAATTTCTCAGTGCTGTTTCTACATGGGAAAACTACTTGAGGGGAAGGCAGGAGCCCATTCTCTTCTGCAGCATCATTCCTTTTTTAAAATATATTTATTTTTTAATTATTTTCCACAAATTTTACATATTATCTTTTACTCATACATTTCGTAGTAGTTTTTGACCCTCTCCCCTCCCCCAACCCCCCATTGATATTCCGGTGATTTTAGTCCTATATTCCCAGCCACGGGCACAAAGTCCGAATCTTACTCTGAATGTCTTCTCTTCCTTCTGTTGGTATCCATTCCAGGTAGGTCTTCTACTTCGTCCTGATTCCCATAGTCTTATCTTCCCATGTGGACTTTCATTCCAGCTTTTCGATTATGTCGGACTGTATGAGATCAAACAAATAATTATGTCAGATTTCTACTGTCCATTTATTTTTGCTCTTCCAGCCTAGAACTATTACTGCTTTACTTGCTAGTATCATGGCTTTAAACATAGCTTGGTTCTCTTTGCTAATTGCTGCGTTTCCTACTATACCCATTAGCATTAAATTAAAGTTGATGGTCAATGATACTTTACATGTCTTTTTTATAATTTGTAGTATCTTTGTCCAGAAAACCTTGACCTCTGGGCATTTCCACCACATATGGGAATACCATCCCTTCGATTGTTTACAATGCCAGCATCTAGGACTCATACCTGGGAACATGTTTGCTATTTGTGCTGGTGTTTTATACCATTTAGTAAGAAATTTATGCTCCATTTCATTAAATTTAATCACTTTGATTTCCTCAATTCCTTTCATTATTTTACTTGCCATGCTTTCTGTTATCTTACCTTCTTTGGCCCAAGTGTTTTGTAGATAAGATATTGACTTGTCTTCCCTGCAGCATTATTCCAAGCCTGTTTGGGCTGTCCTTTATTTTTTAAAGCCATTCCCCACAGTTGCTGTCTGGCTGTGGGGAACCTGAATTGAGTCCAAGGAACACGGGCCCAGCTGTTCAAAAACATGAACATGTAGTTTGGCCCTTCATTATTGCATAAAACAGCATTTTGTTGTTGTTGTTGTTCATGAGATATGTGATTTTTAAAATAATAAAAACTGTAACCTTTAGAGTCTACATTTTCCCTCTAATTCCCCCCTAATGGTTCCAGTATGCTTTTGATGCTCTGGAAATCATTACTGTGTGTTAGACAGAACATGAAATATTTTTATATAATCTGCTCAGTTAAGACCATGGACATTCAGCACTGCTGTTGGATTCTTAGCATACCTGGGTAACTAGCATTTTCCATTTTATAATTTTAGATATTTGAGTTTTAACAGGATCATACTGACTATATAAAATCTTAAAATGAGAAATGCATGCTTCTGCTCATTTACCCTGGTTTCTTATCTAGTTCTTATATAGGCTACAGTCTGACCTGTTTTATCTTTTGTCTTCCTGAGCATTTTGCTTCCTGTAGCTATTATTTGTTACCTAATTTTTCATTTCTCTCACTGTGTATATATGTACTTTTAAAAATAGGGGATACACCTTTTTATGCTGATTCATTGGTTGGAACATACAGTAAAATTATGAACCATAAGAATTCTCTGAGCTTCCCCGAAGATAATGATATCTCAAAAGATGCAAAAAATCTTATTTGTGCCTTCTTAACTGACAGGTAAAATACAATATTCTGATTCAGATTGTGAGTTTTGGAAAGATTTTTGTGTGATTCACTTCAGTTTTTGGTGATGATAATCTTTCTTTCTTTCTTTTTTTACTTTCTGTTATAATGCTGTTAGGCTATTTGTCCTGATAATAAAATATAGTGTTGTTGCTGTAAGATAGCCTTTAAGAGGTGCCTTGGAGAATAAAAGAAATTCAAACTAGGCTTCAAGTTTGCTGTTGTTAAATAGTAATCATGATTTAATAATGATTATGCATAAGCCCATATAGCACATTTAGTTTTGTTCTGAGGTTGCTAAAAATTTTAATTTGAATGAATTTCTTAGTATATTGTTTCCAGGGTTTTTTTGTGGCAGTTCTTTTCTTTACACCAAATGTACTCTAACTTGTATAATATTATTCAATCCAAATTTTAATATGAGTGAGCCTTCCTTAATCTTAGGAAGTTCAGTTTATGAAATGCAAAGTACAAAACTTATACTAAAATTCTATTTTTACAAGCAAAAGTATTGATGGAATTATAACTGTCTTAGTAGTATAGACTGGAGACTGTTTCAGCTTTGAAAGAGTTCTGTTCTGTAACAAGCATTGTCATGGTCGATAGTGGCCCAGGAACATGAATTTTGAGGGGAGGGGGTATATGATGTGCAAACATTTTATTAGCCTGTGAAAATTATGGAAAATAAATGTTTCTGAAATCTGGTACTATCAAACAAGTAATGGTAGCCTCCTTGGCCCTTTCACATAAAACTTACTTACAACAGAGAAACATAGGGTTGCCAGGTCCCCCAGATTCAGCCGCCAGGGGAACCTCACCCCCAAAGTGCCGGGATTGCGGGGACGTACCGGCGCAATGACGTCACCTGGAGTTAACGTCATCGGGCCAGGCACGTTGTGGGGGGACGCTCTTATCGTTTGAGGGAAAACTTTGTTTTCCCCTCAAATGATAGTACCCCCGTCCCCAATGTGCCTGACACAATGACATCACTTTTGGGTGACGTCATCACGGCACACACATGTGCCAGAGATGTCCCAGAGAGGGGCTGGGACTTCCTCGCTAGAACGAAGGTAAGACCTGGCAACCCTAGAGAAACAGGACAAGGATGGGTTAACTCATTCCATGCCCATCCGTTTCTGTCTCCACTTTGACTTTCTACACAATGCAAAACACATATTAGAAACCCTGGCAAGGGGAATTGCTGCTGAGAGATGTGATTTGGAGCATAGAAAAAGTCCATGGTGAAGATCTGCCCCTCTCTGCCACTTTTCTGCTCCCATTTTCTCTCACTGGAAATAGCCTTTTCTATAAGAAAAGTACTACTGCATACATTTGCATTTACATGTGTTTGTAATATCAGAGCTTGTATAACTTGCCGGGGGCAGCTGAATAGGGATATGATGCATTTACATATCTTTCATTCCTGATATCTGTAGAGAGTACTACATACTAATACACTTGGGGATTGTATTGAATGCTAATAAACAAGGTGATATTTTGTACAGTAGGTTCTCCCCCCTACATAGGTATGTATGGAACAAGACTGAGCCCCTCAGTGTTATTGTTTTGGCATAGCCTTCGTATCTGGCAAAGATAATTGTGTGCCTTTTTCACAGAGAATGCATTTATGTGTATCCCTGTTCTGTGGAAATTTTTACGGTAATAGGAATTTATGTTAACATGCTATAAGGCATCTAGTGAAGATTTCTTGCTGCTGTTTGCTACTGTTAACCTGTTTAACAACTCATGATTGTTTTAACTTTAGCAATTAAAAAGCACCATCCAAGCAACCATGAACAGATTGGCATTTCTGCATTCTGTGACAATTTCACATTATTAATAACTATAAATACAAGTTTAATTCTTGGCCATCAGGACCATACCTTAAAATATTATATTCAAAACTAATTCAATTTTACAGGGAAGTCAGATTAGGCCGAAATGGTGTAGAAGAAATCAAGCGGCATCTGTTCTTCAAAAATGACCAGTGGGCTTGGGAAAATCTGAGAGACAGTAAGTATCTTTCTGTACAGAAGCAAGTTGTAATTTTCTTTTATGGCAAACCGTCCCATTCAAATATTCTTAATGGAAAACACTTATCTGCCTGTGAACTATTTGATAGCACCTATAAAATGTTGGCTCTTTACATTTTAAAGGGTAGTTTCCTAAACAGCTAAAGATTTAAGAACTATGCTCCAGGGATGTGCATTCAGATATTTCTGATCCTCACTCTCTCGCCCCCTGTCTCCCCCCCTCCCTATAAAATACCAGTAATCAGTTCCTCCAAAGTTCTGGAAATATTTGGGGCTGGCATTTTAAGGCTCCAGGCCTATTTTTCTTCAATGTTAAGGGTTTCCTAAAGCAATGGGCTCAAACTTTAGAGGGATCACTAGAGCTGTATGCCCAGTCATGACAGTCTTCTCACAGCCCTTCATGGCTCTCTGAGCATAGGCAAAGAGGGTAAAAAGCAGGCCTGCTGCTTGACTTCATTTCAGGGCTAGATTTTTTGGGTGCTGCTGCAGCTGTGCTCTGTGCCTTGGATTTCTGCTCCCCGCCTTCCTGAGAAAACCCACTATAAAGGACCCAATCCAAGTGCTGTGCAAAACATATTATTCAAAAAACATCTTTTTACATAGTTTTCTTCATACAAAAATCTTATAAGGAGACACAGTCTCAGGAAGTGGAACACCAAAGCAACTTAGGTTTAAGAACATTAAATATAGTACAGTCCAATATCTTGTGCCTAGGCACACAATTCCAAAATATAGTCCAACAGTTTAAATCCCATGTTGCCTAATAAAAGGCACAGCTGTGTAATTGACATTCTGTTCTGATAGGGCGTGTTGACCTTTTTCCCGTTTCCCAAAGAGCTTCAACTTATAAGCGACTGTGACCACTCTGTAGTAACACCTTTTCTGTCAGTCTTGAAATCAGTAGCCTGAAGCCTACAATTTTCTTTCTTAACCCTACATTGCTTTGGTGTTCCACTTCCTGAGTCTGTTTCTCCTTATGAGGTTTTTGTATGAAGAAAACTATGTAGAAAGATGAAGAACAAATTTAGAGTCCAGTGGCACCTTTAAGACCAACAAAGGTTTATTCAAGGTATGAGCTTTCGTGTGCTAGCACACTTTTTCAGATACAGTGGAATGGAAGGTAAGGTTCAAACTTATTAATGGGCTGAACTGCAAATTAACATGTAACATGATGAAGATGTTTTAAGATCTGCAAAAACAGAATTAAATAACAAGCTACAGTTATAAGGTTGTAAAGCAATAAATACATAAAAATAAGTCTGAGACTCTCCATTCACTCCCAGAGCATGGAGGTTTTTTGAATAATAACTTATGTTTTGTACAGCACTTGGACTGGGTCCTTTGTAGTGAGCTATTTATAGGTGCTGGTCTATTTGTGGATGTATTCCTGAAAAAAGCTTCTTGTTCTGTACCTGGACATCTTCAATGTGGAATTCACTTTAAAATATTACTTTATTGGGTGCTTTCAGTATTGTTATCTGATTCAAATGCCAATGGACTGATAACAGCTAATGTGGCGTGGTTCCTGGCTAAGGTTGCCGCTCTCAAGAAACACTGAAAGCTTTATCATCTTTGCAAACACCTACACCGATTTTTAATCTTCGGAGGATTTTAGTTAGTTGGCTCCGCCCCAAGTGTAGTTAGGTCTTTTTTATTCTCTGGGCTATACCTGGGTTTTATATGTTTACTGATTGTGACTATGTACTTGTCATATTTTATGTCAATTTTATGTACATATTTTACCCCTTTTGCATTCTCTTCTGGTCAAGACTTCGGTCATATAGACCCGTAATAAATTGAATAGAATATTACTTTAAATTTTTCTGTGTGTTTTGTTTTGGCTGGGAGACACTGCCCTTCCTGGATCTTTTAAAATAGTTTTTTAAAAATATTTTTCTTTAGCAGCTTGGTTTGGATTTCTCTGGTTTGATATTGGTTCTTTTAGCATTTGGAGTCTTTTGACCAGTGATTGCTCTTGTGTGTTTGACTATTGGCTTCTTTGCTCTGAAGGAAGCATGGGATTTTTTCCTCATAGGAAACAATAGAGAAAAGTAGGATAGCTGAGGGCAGTTAGTGGTACAGATGAATGTATGTTGCAGTCGAGAAGTCATGCCTTATATCATTAAACTAGGAAGAAGGCTCGTTGTGGGAGTGAAGACAACAGGCGCTAGGCTGGCTGTTTGGGTGTGGGCCACTTGGCCTCAGCCACCCCCTGCCAGTGCCACCAAATCGAGACTCCGCCGGGCCAAGCCACCCAGCCACCAGGCTGCCTGGTCGCGGGCCCCCGTTTCCATCCTCTCCCAACCTGGCTCGTCAAAGGTGCCCGGCCTGCCCCTCCATGTGGTCGAGGCACTGGTGAACCAAGCTGCCCGGCTTCGTCTGTCCCTGCCCAGGTGGGCCAAGGCTTGCGACCCGGTCCCCTTGTTTACTGGAGGGCGGGAGGGCAGGAGAACCCACCTCCTCTTCCTTTGTGCCCGCCGCAGACCCCGACGGCGCACCCTTCCTGGTTGCCTGGACTGTGGTGGCGGTGCAAGGCCGCTCCAATCGCCCCAGCCTGGCGCCCTCCCGCTGCTGCCTCCGTGGCCCGAGGCAAAGGCGCCCCTGCCTTGCCAGGCGCCCCGTTCCTCCTGTGAGTTCGCTTCTCCGGACCGGAGCGACCTAAGTGCTTCCCACCCCCTTTCTGGCTGGGCTGTCATGGCGGCTGGGCCAGGGGGCCTTTGGGAGGCGTCTCCTGGTCGTTTGCCTTGGCGGAAGGGCAGGAGAACCCAGGGGGAGGGCCTGAAAGGGCTCCCTGGGCCCCTCCTGGCTTGCTGGGCTTGGCTGCTGGGCCAGGATGGGGCCGGTGGGCTTCTGGGCGGCTTCTCCTGCTCAGCCGCCTCGCCAGGAGGACAGGAGAACTAATGGGGAGGGCTGCAAAGGGCTCCCTGTCTCGCTTGCCTCGGCGTGCAGGCGAGAAGGGGGCAGGGGGCCTCTGGGCAGCTGTTCCCGCTCGCCCGCCTTGGAGGGCTTTCCCCGCGCATTGGCCTCAGCGGCCAGGTGGGGAAAGGTGGCGTGGAAGCCTCCGGAGGTTGTTTGCGCCTGCCCATTGCACGGGGCAGGTGAGCAAGGCAGCCCTGACAGGGAAGGGGAGGAGTTCTCAACTGCCTCCCAGTGGCCTGCTCGGGTTTCCCACTGCCGCAGGGAGGGCGAGAGGCAGGCGGCTCTGAGTGGGAAGGGGAGGCGGCTCCAACTGCGACTTCCTCCATGGGCTTGCTCGGCTTCCCAGCTGCCGGAGCATCCATCCTGCCCGGTGGCTCCCAACACACTGAGGGTGAGAGGCTGGACTGCGGCTCTGTGGGTGGGACCGAGCCAACACAGCAACGGAAGCTAGCCAGTGGCCAGAGACCCACCTGTGAGTGATAGTTGAGGCAGCCAACTGATTTTGGCGTGAATGGAATCTCGCCACCCCATAGGACAGAAGCCACCCCAAATCAGCTTTATAATATATATAAGGAGATTTTTTACAATCACTAATGTGACTAGGATAGAGTATTAGGCACCTTTTGAACCTGTGTGGTGCCATGGCCTTATATATATGTGGAAACTTTAGAAGCATGTTCTCAAGCATAGACCTTACCAGAAGTGACACTTCTGAAAATCAAATGATGACAAAGGTTGAATTTTGTGGAAGTCCATTAGAATGAGTTTCCTTTTTCCTCTTTAATTTGAAGTCACTTGTGTAGCCAGTTTGCATAAAACTTTCTAATGGCTATGTCTCTCAGTGAAGTGAGGTCAAAGTTATTGAGCAAAATGTTATGACTTTATTTCAGGTTGATTTTTAATTTCTTAAAATAGAAGTCTTTATCTTTATTGTGCAGCTGGAATTAAATGTCCTTATGATGTCTATCCATTCATATACCATTCATCACAAATATTATACTTTTGAATATACAGTTTCTAATATAGTAATTCTTGTTTGTACTGTTGGTAGCTGTAGCACCAGTTGTGCCTGATTTAAGTAGCGACATTGACACTAGTAACTTTGATGATCTGGAGGAAGATAAAGGAGAAGAAGAAACGTTCCCTATACCAAAAGCATTTGTTGGCAACCAGCTGCCTTTTGTAGGATTTACTTACTACAGTAACCATCAGTAAGTACTGTCAGAACTACAACCTATGAATTAAAGGGTATTTGTATTTTTTTAAAGTATGATGAAGATAAAATCAATGAGATTTGAGAGTCATGTCACAAATGTAGCTGAATTCTTTGTTTGCCAAACGAAACAAAAAGGTCTTTACCTGCTGGTAGAAGATAATGATTGAGAAGGACAGATAAGTCTCCCAGGGGAGGCTTTTTCAGAGTTACCACATTTGCGGGACTGTTTATTCTTTCTAGTTGTTTCATTAAGCTGCCTCAGGTCTCACCTGTTTACTGGTAGTGGCGACTAGCAATTGTGACTAATGAGCAGGTAAGTAGAAGAGAGTGCTCAAGCAAGTGGGTAGACTTAATTCATATCACTGTTTAGATTCTTATTAGAAGTCAAAAACATCTCATGTTTCATTATTAAACTGAAAACTTTTAAAAATATAAGAACAATGAATCCACAGGTCCAGAAGTAAGTAGTTAAATAAGAAATGCGTCCTGTTTATTACGCTAGAAAACCTTACCATTAAATATAAAATTAATTTTTTCTTGCCTAACTTTTATTCATTTCAAAAACTTGCTACTGGCATCCCTGCTATATGGAAGGTTAAGTTGATAAAGAGCTTGACAAAACTTCCAACAAGCTATAAAATGTATGTTAAGCCAAAAAAATATGTGCTCTATGAACTTTTTGAGATTTGAGTTTCAAATATTTTGAGTCCATCTCAAGCAGTATGTGCATTGTTATGCCATTAAAAATTTAGATAATAGTCATGAGTTAAATTCAGTATCTAAGTTCTGTTATGTAAGGAGCTCTGCTCTGGAAGAAATCTTGCTGTAGCAGAGGAAGATTCATCATTAGGGAGATCTATTGGATTCATACCATATCCAAAACTAAATATGAATGAACACTGTTGAATTTGCATCTATGCAGCTTTTCCTGGTGCCTTTGCCTGGTACCTAATTTTGACATGCAGTTATGTGTGAATAGGCTCATTATTCATAACCACAATACTTTTCAAATTGTACAAAAGTACAGTGGGGTCAGAAGTTCAAATCAAGAAATGAATACCTATCAAAGTGAAGGCTTTCCCAAGTTTTCCATGCATTGAATAGGTCCTTCAGCTTCCTGGATTCTTATTATTCTGTAAAGTACTTCTTCATAAATCAAATTATAAGTAGAATAAAGATATAACTGCAGTGAAAAATAGTGCACTCGACTGGTGGTTGAAGCGTAACATGTAAGATAATTTGTTTAAAGATGTTTCAAGGCAGAGTGACATTTTTTCCTTGAGGCAGTTGGAAAGCATATATTGTTTCCAGTGTGGTTTACTGTCCAGCACAGCCTTTTCTGTCTTTCACAATGCTAGGCATTACTTTTGCTTGGAAACAATGTAGAAATAATTGTTTTTCACATGTGTTTCGTTCTTTGTTTTTCAGGCTTTTGAGAAAACACTTTTGTATTTACTGCTGTATTACTTTTTAAAAGTTTTATTAAAATTATGTTTGCAGGTATTTGTCCAGTTCTACGGCAAACTCTAATGACAACAGAGCAAGCACCAATGTAGATAAAAGTCTGGTATGTTTCTTTTTGTTGCTGTGTTGAACTGATTTCTTTTAAAATAGATCAGTAGTGCTGTCTATTGATCAAAGGATTTGTGGCTGATTTTTCATTGGTCAGTTAAATTACCAGAAAAACACTGTAGGTGCCTTTTTGAGATATTGAAGGAAATGCAAGACAATTTACACATTGATAAATAGATTTCATACTTGCTTCATAATGTCTTGATTTTCATTTCCCATTTCCTATTACAGCAGCACATCAGATCCATAGTAAACAACTATTCCTTTGTGATTCCATTTATTAAAATTTATCTTTATGAATAGAACATTAAATCTTTAATGATTGATCTACCATTTGAAAATTGTGTCCTAGTTTCTCATAGGCTCTGGCCTTTTATATAAATAATGCGAACCCATTAAAACAACTTTAGGTGACTGTTGTAAAATAGACTATATATCACTGATACCATTGGTTAAGCCACATTTGCCCTCCAAGTATGCACCCTTATCATATCATCTCCCTTCCCCAGCTACAAGTAAATAAGATAGACAGAAGGAGAAGAAGAGGAGATTGGATTTATATCCCTCCTTTCACTACCCAAAGGAGTCTCAGAGCAGCTTACAATCCCTTTCCCCTCCTCTTCCCTTCCCCTCCCCACAACAGACAACCTGTGAGGTAGGTGGGACTGAGAGAGCTCTCTTGAGAATTGTCCTTGAGAGAACAGCTCTAAAAGAACTTATGACTGACCCAAGGTCACACCAGCAGCTTCATGTGGAGGAGTGGGGAATCAAACCCTGTTCTCCCAGAATAGAGTCCATGCTCTTCATCACTACACCAAACTAGAGCAGTCCCTCATGCCTGATGGCCATCACACAGCTCCTTAATCTTAGATTTGGTCCCTGTTTGTTGCATGCCACTTTTTCTGAAGGCTTGGGAGAGAAATCTAGGATTTTACCCTCAAGGTGGTGTGAGCCACATAAAACAACTCTCCCGTGCTAGCTGTTAGAAGCCACTGCAGATAGGGCTGCCTAAAATTTTAAGATTCCAGATACTCCCCATTTGCTTAGAAATTTTGAATACCTCTGCAGATCTGTAGATCAGTTCTGTTAAGAATCACTGATTTAGCAGTCTTCTAAGTTCCTGTAAATCATATCTTTCCTATTTAAGGCCCTGTGAGGTTAGGGAGCAACATACCTGCGGGGCTGCCTCTCTCAGTATGTTCCCCAAAGAGCCTTATGCTCAGCAGAACAACACTTACTGGTAATCCCCTGCCCTAGAGACATCGACCAGAGCCAGATTTTTTTCAGCTCTGGCTCCAGCCTGATGGAGCATGCTCCCAACTGATAGCAGGGCCCTGCAGCCTTATTGCAATTCCTCAGGCCTACAAAATAGAGCTGTTCTACCTGGCCTTTGGTTGAGGCAGTGGGTACCTCACTATATTTGGCCTCCCCTGCTCCAGCCAGCCCCTCTTTCGACCAACCTAGGCTATTTGTTATACCAACTCATATTATAGGCTGGGGGCTGGGCCCAATTATTACCTTGATGGCCCTATCCAGAGTCTTATACAGTTATATCCCTGAGGTCTATGTATTCCATCCCACCATCATTTAGGTTTAGTTGGGTTTTTAGTTTTTAACTTAAATTATATGAAATTGTTTTTATGTGTTTGTTGGTGTATCATACCTTGACCAGAGCCTGCTCGTGGGGGAAAGCGGAATAAAAGTATCATAAATAAATAATTTACATTTTCTCCCTTATATTTAAAGCTGGAATCTCTCCAAAAAACCATCTATCAGCTTGAAGAACAGTTACAAAATGAAATGCAGTTGAAAGATGAAATGGAACAAAAATTCAGGTGACAACCTACATTACATGTTTTCAAACCCACCTTCCCTAACTACACATAAATAGATAAATGCTTCAAGTTCTAGGCAGGGGGGTTAGGTTTCCCCCTTCAGTCAGGAGGTGCATACATCTTGTATGTATGAGAGAGGAGGTGGTTTGCACTTGAAGTGTCATCCTTCATTCCTAGTTGACATCCACAATCTGCAGTCTTACTTAATGTTACTGTTGGTGGCCTGTGCGTTTTCACACTCTAGGCAGGGAAGAGTGTGTGTGTGTACATATTCAAATACTTAATAAAATCTTTTTGCATATAGGAAATTAGTGTGTCAGGGAGAAGTCTGACCAGAACTTTCCTCTAATATGCTTATTTTGTATATGCAAGACTTTGTCTGTGTTTAATATTTAGTTTCATATGAGAAATACTGAACAGAAATATCCAGTAAGAGCTGGTTGTAACATAATTTTAATTTTTTTGTAGAACGTCAAATATTAAACTAGACAAGATAATGAAGGAATTAGATGAAGAGGTAAGTGGAATTTTCCTATAGTATCACATTTGTTTAATTATTATTTTAAAATCTTACTTGTATATACAGTTTTCACACTTAATTGCATCAAATGAGCAGGGATCAGATCTGTTTGTATGGCTCATTTTATAAGCATTAAAGAAGGAAAAATAATTTTGGAAATGTGGTAGTAGTTTGAGAATGGTGCTAGTTAAGAAATATTGGATTTGCAGATGGGAAAGTGAAAGTAACTCTCTGTGTTGAGAGACAATGTTGAATACAAGAGTTTAGTTGTAACATAGGATATGTCTGTCTAATCCCGTGTTTTGTTTTTAACAAATGTTTCTTTACAAGCATACATGAATTTAATATCTTTCTGTTTCCCTCCTAGCATTTGATGTTCAAATGAAATAAAATTAAAATAGGGGCTTGAATATCAGCTGACATGGTTAATATCAGTTGTCAGATCTATGGGGATGGATGAAGAACATACATTGTGTCCTTTTGTACTAAGATTCTTTGTATATTATTTTATGATGTCCTCTCTTCTGAGAAACAAATAGCATAAATACTGTAGTTTCTCCAAGTCTTTTCATAACCTGATTTTCCATCTAGCTGGTCCATTTCTTCCAGACTGCTTTTTCTACAGGGAATGTAAGGAAGGAAAAGAGACCCAAGCACATGAAAGAGAAGCTATAAAGTTTTTATTCAGAGAAAGAGAAGCTGTAAAGCTTTTATTCAGATAATTTACATCAGTTTTAAAATATTTAAAATGTAGCATTTGTATTCTTGTGTCTTTATTAAATTTTAGGTAATAGTTGTGTACCCATCTAATGAAAACTAATCACTTTTCATATATGGAAAATTGGCAATGTTTACAACTTACAGGTGAATCAGAGAAAGAACTTGGAATCTACTGTTACTCAGGTTGAAAAGGAAAATATGCTGCTGCAACACAGAATAAATGAATATCAGAGAAAGTCAGAACAAGAGAGTGAAAAACGTCGGAATGTAGAAAATGAAGGTAAATTGTCTCTTCCTTGCCGATTAATATATTTCAATATTTCATTTATTTGTTAGATTTATACTCTGCCCCTCTCTGCCGAATCACTTTAGCACTGTGACATTCCAAGACACTTCTTGCTTTTTGAGAAGTGTGAAAATGTTAGGAATGGGTTGGATTTACTGCAGTTGTTAGCAGCAGGAGCGCAGCTGTTTACCCCCACCACAATCCCTAATGGTTCCAGGAAAGTTGATTCTTAGGGTCATGGGATCTGGTGGACTAATGGCCATGTGAGTCATGGGGCTTCAGTGAGGAAGAGGCAGAAGGCAAAACTGCCTTTTAGGAGGTACTGCTCTGCTGACTTTCTTCTCCTCAGTACAACATCATCCATGTTATTTAATACACAACTTTCCTGGGGTTCAAAGGCATTGCTGGAGGAGGAACACAGCAGAAAATCCATACTGCCAATGCCTTCTGCTGACAGATCACTGGATCTAATAAACTCTTTTCAAAAGTATGACTGGAAAATATATGGTTTTGATATGTCTCAATACATGTGATTTTTTTCTAGTTGTATAAAATATTATAAAATATGTCTTCAACAGAAATGGTCACGTTTAATTGTTTTTCTTTTTATCTAGTATCAACATTAAAAGAACAGTTGGAAGACTTAAGAAAAATTAGTCAGCATTCACATATTACAAATGAAAAAATAACGCAATTGCAAAAGCAAGTAAGTAATTCTGCACACCTCCATCTCCTTCACACATCCCTCCCCATGTGTGTGTGTGTTCGTTCTGTAAGCTCAGAAAAATACCAAAGTAACAGAGCTGAGCATGCTAGATATGTGTTCTATTCCATACTGTCTCCCCTAATTTTTTTCACTCCTAACAGCTAGAAGAAGCCAATGATTTATTAAGAACAGAATCTGATACTGCAGCAAGATTGAGAAAGAGTCATACAGAAATGAGCAAGTCAGTGAGCCAGTTTGAAGCCCTAAACAGGGAACTGCAAGAGAGATACAGAGTTCTAGAGACCACAAAGTTACAAGTGGAGAAGGATTATTACCAACTGCAGGCAGCCCTGGAAGTAGAACGGAGGGATAGGACTCACGGATCAGAAATTATTGGAGAGCTACAAGGTAATTGTTCTATACTAGCATAACTTCTATTATTTTACCAGCCAAAATTATTCTGTCAAATATATTGAAAGTGTTAGAACTCTTGAAACAACTCTACTTCCTTTTGTAACAGCCAATTTTAGGCTACTTTTTCACTGGAAACCTAAGCCTTCCACGGGGCATTTGATATGGTTTGCAGCAAAGGTATTGCAGACGCACATTCTGGCCTCACATTCAAGCCCAAAAAGAAATGAGGAAAGTGTGATATTATCCATTTTCTTGGATGTACTATGTATATACCTCCAAAACAGGGTGTGTAGCCTCTTACATGAACAACTGGACTACATTGAGTTATCATGTATGGAGCCCTCCACATTCTGTGGTATGGACAAGTAATGCATGTGTCCCTAGTAGACCTTTGAAAATGAAATACTGTTCTGGTTGCAACCTCCCAATATATGCATTCTGGAGGATGTATGCTGAAGGGCTGTGGAGATGCCATAAAACTAATGCTGGAATGCTACACACACCCACACACCCGGCCAGGAAAGTGAGGTGTAATAAGCTCAATACTCTCATTTTAGGTGCAGAGGAAATGTCTGACTAGATTTTCTTGATATTTAGGGAGGAAGAGTGATTGCATAGAAAGTTTCCAGTATAATGATCTGGGGACCGTTTCATCTGGGAAGATTCAAGCATTTTATCCTTAATTTATGAAAGCTCACTATGATATAGTTTGAGAACTCTGCTTGGGTGGAAATCCAGTGTAAGATGAATCTTACCTTGAAACCCATTATATTATGCATAGTGTTGTCTTCATTTTTATATGAGTTAAATATGTTTGAGCCATATTTTCTTTCATTACTGAATTTAACTGCTGGTTGAGAGCATGGCACAAATATTCTAAATATTGGTGAGGATCCTAAGGTGGATTCTCATAGAGTTCCAGAGCACTGGCTGATGTTGATATATTTTGTGCTGTATTAGTTCTGTCCCCTCACTTTCCCCCCCATTGCCCTAAACAACGGAATACAGGAGGGGTCCCCAGCTGCTGGGAGAATGCCTCCCTGAAATGGGAAAATGGCACGCCTTGAATTCATTGATCCCTATATACACAATGTGGGTGGAGAGGAACAGGCAGTTTTAGTAGAAGGGGTTGCCAGGAAAAATTCTCTTACATAGTCAGCCCTCTCTCATTAGATAAAATTCAAGCCATTACTTCTGTTTTCACTAGCAAATGTACTCAAGTGTTTGCTTGGGAGTTCTTAGGCAGGCAAGTAACATCTGGTTTTGTGTTGAGACCTGTAACAGATAAAACTTTTTTTAAAAATTAAGCTCGGATTACATCTTTACAAGAAGAAATCAAAGGTGTAAAAAACAATCTTGAAAAAGTGGAAGAAGAAAGGAAACAAGCACAGGACATGCTTAATAATTCTGAAAAGGTAAGGTAATTAATCTCTCTGTTAGGTTTAATTCCTGCTTCTTAGAATATTTGAATTTCAATAATAATGTTTCCATATTTTAAGAATTATAGGTGCAAGTCAGAATGCAAGTGATAGATAAAATAAAATGATTTTATAGGGATCTTCTTCGTGGTCTCTGTTGCATCACACCTCTGGGATATAGTGCGCCTACGCCCACCCCGATCAGTATAATGGAAAGCAAAAGGAATTTTTGCATCCGCTCCCCGGTCACGTGCCGGGCTCCACTGCGCATGACCAAGGGAGGAGCATGACAGTCCCACCAGTTCTCTCCTGACCGCCATGTTGGTAGGACACTCTCTGCCTCGGTCGGTAAAACTTTACTTTTTGGGGCTTTTTGGCCTTGCTTTATTCAGGTTTAGTTAGTTAGGAAAGTTTTTCAGTTAGTGTTTTGTTCGACTTAAATGTATACCATCCCTTCCCCCGGCTTATGGCCGCGCGGTGGGGTTTCTTTAAACGGTGCATGGAATGCGGCAGTAAGATCGCCCCCCCCCCAGATGGACATTCTCTCTGCCTTCTTTGCCTGGGGGAGTCGCACTGAGTTGCCTCTTGCGCCCATTGCTCCAGTTCTCCAGGCAGACCAGGAAAAATAGGGCTGCTAGACTGCAAGTGGTGCTGATGGAAGCCGCACTCTCTCCAGTGGCACCTTCATCTCAGGAGATGTCCGGACATGCATCGATGTCGACGCCAGCATTGGAGGCGACAATCGCCATGTCTTCAACGTCGACCTCCATCGATGCCGTAAAATCGGTGCAGAAACCCCCAATTCAGGCACAACAGTCTGAAGCCCATACTCCTTCTAAAAGACATAAGGAGGGCAAGGACGTTTGGCTTATCAAGCTTAAGAAGCACAAGAAAGGCTCTCGCGGAACCACTTCACTTGATTCAACAAACCAAGGGCAGCCACAAAGTGCACTTCGGTCACCTTCGCTACACCCCATCCAGTCCCCAGACTCCGCACAGGAGCTGAACTTGACTCAGGTTCCTCGATTGCCCGATGTTGAGAACCTGCAACGAGATCAAAGGACACATAATGTTGTCCCATCACCTTCATTCCCGATGAGCGAGATCAATCTCCGATGCTGATTCCGCCCACGTCATGGGATGAGTGCCAATGGCAATATCTATACAGAGCCTACCCTTTTGAGGGTCGATGCCCTGGACCCTCGTCCACCCATGGAGTGGGATCGCCAGTCTTCCTCGTCCAGAATTTCTCGGTACTGAGATCCCCATCTGGCACCAGAATTCGTCAAACCATCCCAATCGAGACCAATAACTAAAGATCCAAGTCTTCAGCCATCGGCACCGAAAACTCCCATAGATCAGTCGGAACTTAGGCCTTCGATGCCGATCCTCCAGACGTTGTTCTCCAAACCCTCAAACCCATCCAGCTCCTCCAGCTTTTACTTGGTTGAGGAGAGTTCCCACCCACCAATAGAAGCATCCCCGCAACAACAAGTCGAGGTTGAGCTCCCTATTTCACCGTCAGAGGACGTTAAACCCTATCGGGACTTTATTAAACGTATGGCTCATACACTAGCTCTGCCCACCATCCAGCCCCTACTGACAGTCACGGACTCAGTCTTTGATATAGTACAAATGGACACTTCGACAGTGATCGTCCTTCCCATGACGTTGGTCCTTTTGCAAATAGCAAAAGCCCCCTGGGCTCATCCTTCTTCGGTATCGATCTCCAACAAAAGGTTGGATCATATGTATAAGATCCAAGAATCAGGGGCAGAATTCCTTTTTGTTCATCCAAAGCCTAATTCGTTAGTGGTTACGCCTTCGACCAAGGGCAAGAGTACTCATTCTACACCTCTGGATAAAGAGGGACGGAAAATCGACTCTTTAGGCAGAAAATTTTATACTGCCAGAGCTCTGGGTATCAAGACTTCCAACTATGCAGCCTGCATGGGATGTTATCAGTATTCCCTTTGGGAACAAATGTCTGAATTTATCTCATCCCTTCCAGATGACTGTAGACACCAAGCTAGACGCATCCGAACAGAGGGGATGCTCTTGGCAAAACATCAACTCAACGTATCCAAACACTCACTGGATACTGTGGCTAAGACTCTCACTTCTGCAGTCACCTTACGCAGATACGCATGGCTACATTCCTCTGCCTTACAACCAGAAACCAAGGCCACTGTAGAGGACCTTCCATTCAAGGGTGACGGACTTTTCCATTCCACCACGGTCGCGGTACTTCAAGAGCTTGACAAAAACATCAAGACTTCTCGCAGCTTAGGGGTTACACCTCCTACTGAACTGCATACAGGAAAACCCATCTAAATCCTCCTCTGAGCCACAATGGCAAAGGTCCCTGAGTCATCCACCACGTTCTTACGGTGGGAAATCCAAATTTTTGTCTACTTCTCTGTCTAGACCCAAACTGCTAAGAACACTAAACAGAGTCTTTGACTCACACCTTCTCTCCCAACTCCCTACATGCTTGTCTCCGTACCTGTCAATCTGGGAGTCCATTACGTCGGACCAGTGGGTCCTCTCAATAATAAAAATGGGATACCTAATAGAGTTTTCCCAAATCCCTTCCTCCTCCCAAGTCGTCATCACACCACCTTCCGCAGTCCTCCTAGAAGAGGTTCAAACTCTCCAAAGCAAGGATGCTATAGAGCCGGTACCATCAGCACAGCACATAATGGGCTTCTACTTCCGTTACTTTATGGTACTGAAACGGGATGGAGGCCTTCAACCCATTTTGGACCTCAGGAACCTGAACTCTTTCATCCTATACAAAACGTTCAGGATGACAGCGTTACAGGTCATCCTTCCGCTCCTAGATCTCGGGACATGGATGGTTACACTGGATCTCAAGGATGCTTACTTCCACGTCTCCATCCACCCTACCCACCGTCGTTTCCTCTGATTTGCAGTAGGGAACCGGCATTTCCAATTCAAAGCCCTCCCGTTTGGTTTATCCACGGCCCCTTGGGTCTTCACGAAGGTTATGGTGGCAGTGGTGGCACACCTCTATCTAAGGGGAGTGCAGATATGTCCCTCTATAGACGATTGGTTGCTGGTAGCAGATTCAGAAGCATCCCTGCTCACCAATGTAAACCTAACACTGACAGTTCTGATGTCCTTAGGCATCCAGGTGAATCTGAAAAAGTCAATGCTACTTCCCACCAGAAGGGTGCAGTTTATAGGAGCTATCCTAGACTCTGTCGTTTGCAAGGCTTTTCTCCCTCCTCAGAGACCCAGGGACATTGTCGATCTAGTGACTCTATTCCGCAGGTCTGGACATGCTACTGTAAAGCAAATCCAGCGGCTGCTAGGTCTGATGACTGCCACCATCAACGTCATTGTTTTTGCCAGACTGCACATGAGACCTCTGCAGCTATGGTTCGTATGCAGGTTTTGCCCACAGAGTCATCCTCAATCCCTTCATCTGGTCTTCCCACCATCTGTTTTGGGCTCTCTGCTTTGGTGGACAGATCCTGTGAATCTCCTAGCAGGAGCCCCATTCCATCCACCCATGTCAACACTTACGCTGACTACAGATGCATTCCTCTGGGGATGGGGCGCGCATCTCAAGGGCCTTTGTGTGGGGGCACGTTGGGAGTCCCATGTAGCACACAATCATATAAATTTCCTGGAACTCCTAGCAGTGCTGTATGCACTCAGGTCTTTCCAACACCTAGTGACCAAGCAAGTGGTTACAGTTCTGACAGACTACACCACAGCCCTGTGTTATATCAACAGACAGGGAGGCACGATCTCCCGGGGGCTATGTCGCCTAGCCATAGAACTATGGGTTGAGTGTCAATCATGGAACACGTTCCTAAGGGCCGCTCATCTGCCAGGAACACTGAACGTCCAAGCAGACTTCTTGAGCAGAGGAGGGGCAGCGGAGCATGAGTGAGAGCTCAATTGGATTTATCTTCACCCAATCTTTCGCCTTTGGGGCCATCCAGAGGTGGACGTGTTTGCAACACGTGGCAACAGAAAATGTTGTCTGTTCTGCTCCAGAGCGGGGATAGATCTCCTATCAATGGGAGACGGCCTCCTAGTCCCGTGGTCACGTCTCCATGTGTTCATCTTTCCACCGATTCCTCTAATACCCAGGGTACTAGTCAAGTTAATGCAGGAAAAACCACACTGTCTCTTAGTGACATTGTGGTGGCCCCAGCAACATTGGTTCTCCACTCTGCTCCACCTATCCAAAGGCTCCTTCGTTCACCTTCCTCCAGCTGCAGACCTTCTTGTGAAGAAAGGTCAGATTCTGCATCACGATGTGAAGCATCTCAAGCTCACGATCTGGAGGATCCTTTTTGACTGATCAGAGACAATTCCTATTGAATTGTCACAGACCATCTACCCGAGTTTCTTACGCTGGGAAGTGGAAGAAATTCTTGTCTTACCTTACCTTGTTGGGATTGCCGCCGCCACCATCTGACCTGATGGCAATCTTTGGGTTTTTATTGTCCCATTTAGACCTAGGACTCAGTTGTGCCTCACTGAAGGTCTATTTAGTCACAATTTCGGCCAATCACCTGATGATTGATGGTTACTCTGTCTTCTCCCACCCCCAGACCAAGAAGTTTCTTAAAGGTCTGACCCACCTCTTTCCCCCATCATGTGGACCCACGCCAGCGTGGGATCTACCCATGGTGCTTGCAAGGCTCATGGACAACCCATTTGAACTGATGGCTACTTATGGTCTACAGTTTTTATCATGGAAAACAGCCTTTTTAGTCGCGGTTACCTCCACCAGGAGGATGGGCAAGTTATCGGCACTCCACTGTGACCCTCCTTATTTGCGCTTCCGTCCTAATGGGGTCACGTTGGCTCCAGATGTCTCTTTTATGAGTTTCACCTGCAAGCAGACATTGTGCTTCCAGGAAGAACATCACTTTCATTCATTGGATGTCAAAAGAGCATTACTCTTTTACCTAAATCAAACACGGCCTTTTCGGAAATCTCCGGCCTTGTTTGTCTTTTATGCTTTACCCTCTCAAGGGAAGAAGCTGTCGTCCCAATGTCTATCCAAGTGGATTATGGAGACTATTAAGTTGTGCTATATGCTAGCCAAGAAGTTGCTCCTGGGTCCACTACGGGCACACTCTACCCGGGCATTGGCAGCATTCACAGCCTTCCTGCGAGGTGCATAGTTGGAAGATATCTGCAACGCAGCTACTTGGGCCACGGCTCACACGTTTGTGGGGCATTATGCCCTTGATGTTCGTCTTCATCAGCATTCAATTGTGGGATGAGCGGTGTTGCAGGCGGTGCAGATTTTGGACCTCAGCTCCCTCCTCCAGGTAGGTGGGCATTGCTTTTCAGTCTCCCAGAGGTGTGATGCACATGAAGAAGATAAACAGGTTGCTTACCTGTAACTGAGGATCTTCGAGTGGTCATCTGTGCATTCACACCACCCGCCCTCCTTCCCTTCTGCTTTTGGTCCTTCCTTGTTTTCTTTGGAGACTGACTGCAGCGGTCAGAAGGAACTGGTTGGATTGTCGTGCCCCTCCCTTGGTCATGCACAGTGGAGCCTGGCACATGACCGCGGAGCGGGCGCGAAAATTCCTTTTGCTTTTTATTATACCGATCGGGGTTGGCGCAGGCGCACTATATCCCAGAGGTGTGAATGCACAGATGACCACTCGAAGATCCTCAGTCACAGGTAAGCAACCTGTTTTTTTCAGACTAAGTCATAGTTGATTATGTCAAAATAATTGAATTTATGTTGATAAAAGATCAGTAGAAATCAGTGAAATACACTGACACAAATAATTTGTTTCTGCTTTTTATACAGTTGTATAAATACTGCAATAATGAAAGCATTTCTTAATTAGATGTTTAAACATACAGTCAGTATTTTATATAGTATTATAAAAAGGTGGGTTACTACAAGGGGATGGGCTATGATTCAATGAAAGAATGTCTGCTTTGTGTGCAGGAGGTCCCTGGCATTTCCAGGTAAAAAGATCAGGTATGAGGTGATGTGAAAGACCTCTGCCTGACATCCTAGAGAACCACTACCACTCTGAATACAGTACTGACCTTGGTGGACCGATGGTCTGATGCAGTATGGCAGCTTCATGTTTACAAGCCTTAAAAATGTCTTTGGTTCTAGGAGACAGTCCAGAAATTTAGGAAGCAGACTCCATTTTCAGCTTTTAGGATTCTGTATTTTAGTTATGCATTTTCTAATTATTTCCCCCATAAAACCTAATTAAAGCCTCATCACAGTTTCTCAAAATCTTATTAAACCTATCACAGAAATGTTGATGTATATAAATAAATATAGGAATAACCCTGGTTCTCATCATCCCAACAAAAAGCTAATCTGTAATACTAGCCTAAATTTGCAAAAATTTCATATAATTCCAGTATTACTTTTAAAAGCTCAATTTAATTGAATATTGGAGCAACTAAAGAAAGCAACCAGTTAAATAATGAATTCATCCACCATCACTGAATGGTGTAATTGTAAGTTTATGTATAAATAAACAATGACAAGAAGTTCATGCGTTTTTGAGTCCTACAACAAGACATTCTGAATTTCTGATTTGTAATGATACATAAGTTTTGGGGTATATCAGATTTCACTTAATCTAGGCCAATTTCTCTTCTTATTACAGCCCCCATGCAGGTTCTGTGATCCCAGACATAGCATTTTTGGTGGTCAAAGGGGAGGGACCCCTTCCTCCCTTTTCACCAATGGTAAACTGGTTGGATCTAACTCTTTGTATTGCTGAAACTACTAGGCACAACAATGAAATTTCTAGGGGCCATGGCAGCCTGACACCTGCAATTTGTTGAGCCTTGGACTGGTACCTTAAGAATTTTATATTTAAATCTTAACTGTGGATGGAGCCAACAAAAGAAGGAAGGTTTTTGTATGGCAGAAATAATAGGGGGATTTAGGTTTTGATTTGGTATGATGACCCAGGGATTAAGAAAAAGTCTTCAATGAAAAATTTGTATTTTGGAAGAGATTTAATGAATGAAGAGTGTTATCAGTGTTATGGGCAGGATTTCCAGGAATAGGGGGTAGAAGGAAGAATGGGTGTGGGGGGATAATAAAGCTAGAGATTTTGGATGGTGAAAAATTGTAGAATTAGAGTGCAAATACCAGCTAGAGGTAGATAACAAGAAATTAGAGTAGGGCAGAGGTGACCAAACTTGCTCAGCGTAAGAGCCACATAGAATAAATGTCAGATGTTTGAGAGCCGCAAAACATGAACAAATATTACAAGCACATTTTTATTTAAAAATATGCAAATTTGCTCTTTTATTAACATTAAATGAGACTGCCAAAATAAAAACAAAAGGGGTAAAAACAGATATTGATAATGATATTTATTTGTCTGAGAAAAAGACAGAGGTGGAAAGAAAGAGAGAGAGAAACAAAGAAAGCAAATGAGAAGGAGGGAGGGAGAAAATGTATGCTTCCCCAGCTGCCCTTCCAGGAGCCACACAATATGTGTGAAAAAAACGCATGTGGCTCCTGAGCCACAGTTTGGCCACCCCTGGAGTAGGGGAAGGCTCTAAAGAATTTAATGCATCTTGCATTCTTTGTGAACGTTTGCAGATTATGTGTAATGGATGTGATTGTTTAAGTGTATGCATGTTTGGCTTTACTAAAATTATTTTACCCAAGCATAATAAATGATTAAAATGGTATAGCCTTTATCATAAACCAATATGTTACATTAAGAAAACTTGGGGGGGGGGGAATGGGACAAAAGCCCTTTAATAGTGTAATGGAACTCAAACATTTGTAAGTTTTAATATGTGATTATTTTAATTTAACTTTGATTTGTCAAATTACCTTACAGGAAAAGAATAATTTAGAAATTGATCTAAACTACAAACTCAAAATGTTGCAACAGCGTTTAGATCAAGAAATAAATGAGCATAACATAGATAAAGCTCGGCTGACTGACAAACATCAGTCAATAGAAGAGGCCAAGTCAGTTGCAATGTGTGGTAGGTACTTGCATATTTGAGTTCATGGGTAAAATGCTGTTAGTATTTATATATAAGTATTTTCATTTCCATAATAGCTTGTATGTCAGTTGCTTAGTTTCACAGAAGGAATGCTAGTTAAATGTTGCTGAATGTCAGTGTACAGAAGGCAAAAATTGTTCCCTTTTTCCTTGGAATATATCCTTTTTGATAAATGAGTCATTTGTTAGCTGTTTTTTTAAACAAAACAGAACAAGAGCCTATGGAATCAGTAAAAGTACTGAACTGTAAAACTACTTCCTAATGCAGAAAGCTTCTGCAAGGGACTTTAGACTTTCCTCTTTTATTTAAGAGTTTCCTTTTTAAAAATACAATAAAAACATAACATACTAGCTTTATTGGATAAGACTTTTGTAAAATAAAAATAATTTCTAATCACCCGTGGTCTCCCCCCCATACAAATTGCTCTGAGGGTTGTGGAGTTATGAGGTATCACAACAAGAAGAAGGAACTGATAGAACTCTTCACATATCTATAGGCATGAGCAGTTATTCTTTTTATGAGTGTGTGTGATTGCCTTCTTCTTGCTGAAATGTCCATGCTTTCATCCCACACTGTTCTTTAGGTTCTTCAACCATCAAGTACTTTAGTGGAGGTGGAACAAGCTGCATTGGGAGATGGATCCCTCTTCCTGCAGCTGAAGCAAGTTCATTTAGAATCCCTGATGCTTCACTTCTTAGAATCCACTTAAAACCTCTGAATGTGAAACAATGCTATTAAATTAGTATAAAATTTAGTATTAAATTAGGTGTGACATGATTGAGTTTTATAAGATTATGCATGGGATAGAGCAGGTTGAGAAAGAAGTACTTTCTTCCATTTCTCACAATACAAGAACTCGTGGGCACTCAATGAAATTGCTGAGCAGTTGGGTTAGAACAGATAAAAAGAAGTACTTCTTCACCCAAAGAATGATTAACACATGGAATTCACTGCCACAGGAGGTGGTGGTGGCTACAAGCATGGACAGCTTCAAGAGGGAATTAGATAAGCATATGAAGCAGAAGTCCATCAGTGGCTATTAGCCACAAGGTATAGATAGGAACTCTCAGGCTGGGGCAGGTGATGCACTGTATTCTTGGTGCTTTGGGGGGGGGGGAACAGTGGGAAGGTTTCTAGTGTCCTGGCCCCACTGCTGGACCTCCTGATGGCACCTGGTATTTTTGGCCACTGTGTGACAGAGTGTTGGAGTAGATGGGCCATTGGCTTGATCCAACATTGGCTTCTCTTATGTTCTTATGTATCAATGGATATTCTGTTAAGTAGCATCCATTTCCTCAGTGTGGTGCACTCATTGGTCAAATATTTGGCCACTTCCCACAGATTGTCCATAATAGCTGCTGAGTTAATGAAATACTTGTTCACTGCTATGTTAGTTTATATACTGCCTTTCAACGAAAAGTCCCCACGCTGGTTTACAAAACAGTGAAATACAATAGCATCAATAACAATCATTTTATTGTTCACTTCTTGATAAGTTAGAGGGGCACACTGCTGATGGAGGAGACTTTGCCAGGCTATGTTCTAGCAATTAGATGCTTATTACCTCAGTATGGGTATTGTTCTGGGTCAGCATTGCATGAAATATATAGTTTGTGTGTGTTCTTGGTAAATTTTGGTTCATTCTGTGGCTGTACAATACTCAGTATTCTGTTTCTAACTACATGGTCAAAAGCTTTTAGATAACAGAACATTTATCTCTACAAGTAGAACTAAGAACTTGAATGCTCTGTGCCAAATAATATGCAGAGAATAATGTACTGAAATTGCAATTTTAAAAGATGTGCTGACTTTTGTTCTTATTTAGAAATAGAAAAAAAGGTAAAAGACGAAAGAGCAGCAAGAGAGAGAGCAGAAAATCGAATTGTTCAAATTGAAAAACAGTGTTCCATGCTTGACTTTGATCTGAAACAATCTCACCAGAAGTTGGAACACCTTTGTGAGCAAAAAGAAAGGCTAGAAGATGAGGTAACTTTGTTTACTTTCTATTCCAAATTGATTGTTAAAGAGAAGTTGACATTTCTTTAAGCTGAAGAAAACTCCACCTTTTGAGCTTAACCAAATCAGGGTGTCTATTTTGTGTGCTGGTGGGGTATAAATTTAATTTGGCAACCTAAAATGCTTCCTGATGGTTTCCCTTATTCCTGCAATTTGATTTGTAGTTGCTATATATGCACAATACAAAATTATTGAAACTGAAGACGAAATAGCCCTGTCATCAAACCTCTGGGGTCCTTTTTGCTGCATTGTGAGAAACTGCACGGGGTGGGAAAATCAAACATAAGAACTGGGGAAAATGGGTTGCTTGGTAAGGGATGTCTACATGTTGACATGTATTCTGCTCCACATAAAAACATGTAACAGCACAACTAGCTCTGCATGCTGAGAAGGGCTTGGGGGTATGGATTTTTTTTAGAACAACAACCGGAAAACCTGTACTAGACAGTAAATGGCTTTTGAAATGGGAAAGACTTTCAAAAGTTAAGGGTAGGCATAGACATTTCCCACTACTCAAAGTCAACACTCTCCCGAAGTATAAATAACTCCTTGGATCCTGGCCACTGTTTTCTGGAAAGTATGCTGTTGCATAGCCTAATATGGAAATGGTGGTATTGTGTATTAACTATTATTGCTATTTTTGAAGTCTAAAAACCTGTTTTCCCCCTAAAATACTGTTAGGTTAAAAATCTTTCACTTCAGCTTGAAAATGAAATAAATAAGAGAGTGATGACACAGAATGAACTGAAGATGCATGCTATAGAAGCAGACAACTTGAAAGGTTCTGAGAAGCAGCTAAAACAGGAGATCAACACATTGTTAGAAGCAAAGAGATTAGCTGAATTTGAGTTGGCTCAGCTGGCTAAGTAAGTAATGAAGCAATTTAAAAACCAACGGTATCATTTAACATGCCAGCCACAAAGACTAATTGGTCCCCCCCCCATTTATTTCAGTATATGAATATTTATGTTCAGTAATATGTTCAGTAATCACTCTGAAGCCTCATTCTTATGTACTCTGATTTAGTGGGCAGGGTGGTTCAGGAGAAGCTGGCACCTCTTTAGTGCTACAAAGTTAGTCTTTCCCTGAAGATTTGTTGCTGGAGGCAAGAACCACTTCTTGCTTTCAAGTTTTTTTTTTTTTGTGGGAATAAAACAGTTCCAGTTTGAGACTTCCATTAACTTCCATTTTTATAGAAAGCATGTTAAGTTAGAACTTCAGAGCTGCATGTTGTGTTGTGTGCAGCCATGGGAGCTCTAATTTAAACAGGCAGACTGCCACAAGGAGGAGGAGGGAGCTGTCTAATTCATTCTCTTCTGCCCTTTGCCTGCCAAAAATCAGCACCCCCTAGGCTGTTTTTAACTCCTGGGTACCCAGAAATTTGTCCTGGCATGGAGTGAAATGTTGGTGGTTTTACAAAGGAAAAAGGTGGAAGTTGAAGCAGTTAAATAGCTATTTAACTATAATAGCTATTTAATAGTTTATTTAATGTTTATTGTTGCCAGGAGGTTTTTTTAAGTAGACTGCAATCAACTAAACACATCAAGCGTAGTTTTACACCTTGTGCTCAAATACTTTGTCAGCTTGATTACCTGATATGTGAAGATTCACTGTTAAATGTGCCAGTATTAAAAGCTTATTTAAGCTGATATTAGGACATTTGAAGACTGTGTCTGAAATCAGAGATGGGGGAAGAGTGTAGGGACAAAAGGGTGGAAAGCGAGAGAAATGGGGCAAACATAAGACCATAAGAATTGCCATGCTCCTTCGGGTCTCCATCTGCTACAGTACCCAGTTTCCCATTTGGGCTAACCAGCTGCACTAGAGGGCCAATAAAAAGGGCAGAGAGGCCTTTCCATGCTGTAGTCTCCTAGTTTTGATATTCAGAGGTTTACTGTGAAGAAGAGGATTGTGTGTGATGTAATTTCGTTTCAAATAAATACTCTTACTAATTTTATTTATTTCTCTCAAAGGCAATATAGGGGGAATGAAGGTCAGATGCGTGAACTACAAGATCAACTAGAAGCTGAGCAGTATTTTTCTGTAAGCAGCTTGTATATAACACAAACCATTTTTAAAATTATAGAGTTTGTAAGGGAAAGGAGTTTGTAAGCCACTCTGAGACTCCTTTGCATAGTCAAAGGCTAGGTATAAATCCAATCTCTTCTTCTTATGAAAATATTGGATAAATCTAAGAGTATTTTATTTTTGGTATTTCAATAAGTAGTTCTTTATACCCTCCTCAGGAGGGAGAAAGGCGAGAAGAGGTAGGAGAATGTGGCATGCACACTAAGCTGGGTACATCTAAGCCACCACTTGATTAACTACAGCTTCTGTTATATTTAGAATTGTGATGTTAACAGTCACAATTCCCAGCAGAAATCTGATCCAGTCCATCTGCTAGGTAATTTAGGGGAGGAAGAAAGACCTGGGACAGAAGCCTGTCATACTGCCCATAAATAACCAGTAGTGTGGCCATTAGCAAGTGCCATGTGAATTGGCTCATGTTCTTGAAACTCTTGAGATCCATTAGGAAGGACCCCATACAGGTTTAATGGAGAGCTCATCTCCTGTGTATTGTCCCTGCTTGATACCAGTGCACCTTTAAAAGAAGGCAGCCTTATTTGTCTGACTTCAAAGCCAACTCAATGCATGTTCGTTCCAGGAAGATCATATCCCTGATAACCTTCATGGCAGGACAGCAGTCAGTGCACCACTATCCCCTCAAATCAATGTTTGCATCTTTGTGTTGGTTTCCATTGAAAGCCTGTCTTGCTAAAACTGTCCCATTACAGCTGAACAAAAAAGATGATAATAGTTTCCATGTCTGCCTACTTGCTCCTTGTAACTCTTCATTGTTGGGAGTGTGTGATCCTGATGGTGGTCATGCCTGCTGGTCATCAGTAGCTTGTAGATGAAACAACTTGCTGTAAGAGAGAGCCTGCCAGAAGAAGCCTTCTGTACCATATTGAAGTATCTGGTGGCAGGCCCTTCTCTCTGTCACCCTTCTGGTGGCAGGTCCCTGGAGGAAGAAGATGAAAAGGATAGCAGAGAAATTAAGGAATGGACGGATCACTAACATAAGAAAGAATGGGTGAACTGGATTTCTGGGAACATACTATTAATACAAGGGTAGATGACTTCATCCCTATATAAATAGTGCCCAGAAATCCAGTTCACCCATTCTTCTGGTCTTAGTGATTCTAGGCTCACAGCAAAGTGAACACATATTTATGATAACCCTCAGAATAATTCCTGTACCTTCTGAAACAAATGGATCCTTGAAGTCTTGTCAGTGTGTAAGGCCAATATAGATCCAGCCTCAGTTGCATTGGGCACACAATGTCTTGGGGCTGGGGAATGTGTCATTGCTTTGCTTTCTCTGTGTACAGGTCTTTTGGGTTATTGCTACAGTAATAAGTTATTGGAGATCCCTTTTCTGTTGAGAAATCATTGTCTGATAATCTTATACTGACTGAGTCATCATTGTAGTTGCATGATCTTCGACGTGGTCTCTGTGCTCACCCATGGGATCGAGTGCGCACGCACTGGATCGATCGGTGCTGTAGCAAGCTCTTTTAATGGATTTTCACACCCAGTCCCTCAGGCATGCGCAGGAACCCCACCGCGCATGCCCAGAGGGGTGGGTGCAGACATCCCGCCAGTTCCTTGCTTACTGCCGCGTTGAGTAGACCTATTTTTCGTCGGTCAGATCGGTTCGCTTTTGGCTGTTCGCCTCAGCTCTTAGGAATTATTTCCTTATTTTAATTTTCTTGTCTTTTCTCTTTTTGTTTGTTCTTCAAAAAAAACCCAAAACCATTTATTTCTGTTGAGGGGGAGTCTACCGATTACCTCAGGCCTTCGGGCTATCCCCCCCCCTTGAACATCCCCTCTTCTTTGCTTCCTTTTATGGAGAAAAAGTGGGTTTTTTTCAATAGGTGCAAGGGTTGCGGCAGCAAACTTGCTCCTCCTGGCCGTCATACCCTGTGCATTTTTTGTCTCGGAGAGTCTCACCTGCCAGAGTCCTGTCGTCACTGCTCATTTTTCTAATCAAACACAGAAAAACCGAGCTACGCGCCTTAAAATAGCGCTGCTTGAATCGGCCCTTACTCCTACCTCAGCGATGGAGGAGATACCATCAACATCGACAGCTCCGGCATCGACACCTGCCTCCGATGCCGACCGCCTGACACCAAAGCTCCTGGCATCGAAGATGCAATCTTCCGCTTCCATGCCAATCAAAAAGAAGGCCAAGGCAAGTAAGGATCCCAAGTCCGCAAGGAAGGGCACTTCAAAGTCCCTTAAGGCGGCGAAGAAGGGGAAGGAAGCGGTGCCTGCACTGGGTGATGCCCCTAAAGTGCCTCCCGCTCCAACGGCAGTATCGATATCAGAGGCCCAACCCTCCACCGATGCCGACCATCTAACTATTGGATTCCCCCATCCAACAAGTGGAGCGCCCTTACTCCAGCATCGAGACGGTAGAGCTCCTAAGTCACCAAATGGGTGCTAAGCAATGTTCCCTCTAAGCTGTGGAGTCCTGTGAGCAAAAATTCGACTTTGTGAGCTACCGGCATTAAAGTTGTGAGCAGGTGATTTGGCTGCTGCATAAATTAGTTTGCTCTGGAGCCATCCTTCCAGAGCCAAGACAAAAATGTCTGAGCCGGAGGCTAAAGAACTTTGAGCTAGCTCACACTAACTCAGCTTAGAGGGAACACTGGTGCTGAGTCTTCTCCATCTCCTTCTACTTTGTCGGCATCGGTGATATCGGAGGCTCCCGATGTCAAAACACGTCGATACCGACACACTTATTGCAGTATGCAATGTCATCCTCCACGTCTGGCTCTTGCACTCCTCAATCAAGGAATATTTGTCAGCTATTTCGGCCTACCACCCGGGCTTTGACGGTTTTTCCGTTTTTTCTCACCCGGTCACAAAGAGGTTTATGAAGGGTCTCCTCCATCCACCAGTCCGCTCACCAGTACCCTTGTGGAATCTACCGCTGGTGCTCCGCCATCTCATGGGGCGGCCCTTTGAGCCCATGACGACTTGTGAGCTAAAGCATGCAGCATGGAAAACTGCCTTTCTCGTCGCCATCACCTTGGCCAGGAGGGTGGGTGAATTCATGGCTCTACGCCATGACCCATCTTTCCTTGTGTTCCTGCCGGACGGTGTGAAGCTGGTCCCTGATATATCCTTTCTGCCTAAGGTGGTCTCCGAATTTCACCTAGCCTCGGAGATCTTATTGCCTAACTTCTTCCTTAAACCAGAAGATGGACAACAGCGACTCCTCCACACTCTAGATGTTCAGAGGGCACTGCTCTTTTACCTAAATAGGACATGTCCGAGTAGGAGGGGCAATCATCTATTTGTCTCCTACTCCAGTCATTCCGTAGGGCTTAAAATCTCAGCACAAAGTCTCTCCAAATGGAATGTCAAGACTATTAAGCTGTGCTACCAGTTGGCTAAATGCTCGTTGCTCTTGCCTGTACGAGCACACTCTACAAGATCCATGGCTGCCTCTACAGCCTTCTTGAAGGGTGCTTCCCTGTCGGCGATCTCTGGGGCTGCGACATGGTCTACTCTGAACACCTTCGTCAAGCACTACGCTGTTGATGTTCGTGAATGCCACAGAGTGGACCTTGGTCGTCTAGTCCTTTTGTCGGCAGAGCATTGGATTTGTGACAGCTTCCACCTCCAGGTGAGCCACTGCTTTTCAATCTCCAATGGGTGTGATGCACAGAGACCACGAAGAAGATAAACAGGTTGCTTACCTGTAACTGATGATCTTCGAGTGGTCATCTGTGCAGTCACACCACCCGCCCATCCTTCCCCACTGCTGTCGCTTCAGTATTTTTCTCTGGTTATTGACATGACAGCGGTCAGAAGGAACTGGCGGGATGTCCGTGCCCCTCCTCTTTGGGCATGCACAGTGGGGTTCCCGTGCATGCCTGAAGGAGAGGCGCGAAAATCCCTTTGTGAGCTTTGCATACCACCGATACGGATCAGCGTAAGCGCATAATCCCATGGGTGTGACTGCACAGATGACCACTCGAAGATCATCAGTTACAGGTAAGCAACCTGTTTTTCCTTCCTCTTCACAAAGTTGTCCAGGTACAGTTGAAGAGTTCAGCTGCATCTGGAGACTCCTCTAGGTACTGTGTGATAGGCAGTGACTCTGCATTATGTTGGCTATTTAGGGGACAGAGGCTACCCACTTACCTTGATGTCATTGTTGCAGATTGCCTCCTTGCCTTCTCTTTCTGCTTGGTTGCTGTTGCTGCAGTTGTTGTTCCCTCTGCCATAATCTTTGGGGATCTGAGCCAGGTGAAGGTATATTAAGTTAGTTTTATCCTGGATCAGGGCCTTTTTATTCTCATGCAGTGTACTACAGAAACACAGTTTTCATTCCAATCCGAATGCTCCCCCACCCTCTGCTGCCAATTATTACCTGGACATCCAGTTGGACAATACTGCACACTGGCCATATTTAGTGGGAAATTGAATGGTATAACTATCCATGCAATTGCTATTATTAACTACCTATTTTTTTCTTCTCCCCTTTCCCCTGCACCAGGCACAAGTGTTGTTTTTTTAGAAGTATAAATATAATGTTCTATGCTATTTTTTAGTATATTTGTCAACTCATGTCTGCTAACAATTAATGGTCTGGATCCTGCCATCTTTTTGCTCAGTCTTGCCCAGTTTCCCTGTTCCACAACCCCCAGCATAGCCTTTTTGATAATCAAAGGGGACTAAAATCTGGATGGATCCAACACAAAATCTACATTTAAGTTCAGTATGATAGCTTTCCCCCTCTGTTTCATTTGCAGACACTTTACAAAACTCAGGTTAAAGAACTTAAAGAAGAAATTGAGGAAAGGAATAAAGAAACTCAGAAAAAAATACAGGAATTACAAAATGAAAAGTAAGTAAATTTTATGAACATGATCCTCACAAAATTAAGAAATGTTAAGGCCTGGTTGATTTAACTGGGAGTTGGTCACTTGCTTTGATCTCACATGTACTCTATCTCTCTTTGAAAGTAGCAGCACTTAAATTGCAGAACACTGAGTTTGTGTCATATTTTTTAGAAGGAAAACAACTTTAAGGTCATTAAATTAAAAACGATTTTTTGTTTTACCTCCCATTAGTTAGGGGAAATTCTCAAAAAATCAGCAAGGACAAAACATTGTGTAATGCTTTTTAATATTATGCATTCCTGTCCAAAAGAATCAGACTGATGGTCTAAAATGAGTCTGTTAGACAGATAGTATCAGATGTGAGAAACCAAGATATGAGATGCTCAGTATATAGACTGCAGTGATAGGCAGTAAAGAAAATGGACTCAACAGTATTTCCAACAGAAATAGCTTCTGTTCCACAAGCTGGAAAAGATAGCGCTGTCTTCTTTAGCCTTTAGAACAGTATTCCATAATTATTGTGGGTTTAATGTTTGTTTTTTTATACACACACACACTGAGAGGATGAGTGCACACCTGTACATGTAACATAAAAATAGGTAAAATGTGACATGTGGTAGATAGAGGTACAGGTTCTGCCTGTGTGAAAATGAAATCTTCATTCCTGCATTCCAAAGCAATATCTACACATTAATTAATATTAATACGCTGTTGTTGCACTACGGCAATCATTTGCAGCTGTGGGGGGGGGGGAGAAAGCAATCCAGTTGCAAATGATTCCCATACTGCAACAATATCCAATGATGTGAGGATGCATTCCAAGTAGAACACAGCAACATACTCTAAAATACTTTCCTTATATGGGTTCATGTTTACATTCTGAAAGTAAACAATTAGTATAAATATATAATTTTTTAAAAAAAATTTACATCAGAAATGGGGTTACAACTGCAGAATCACTTTCTCATTGTCATTTATAACTTCAGGCTCTTTTCAAGTTTAATAGTATGTTTCCTAGATCAGAGAAGTTTTTCTTTGTAAAATTGGTTAATTAAAAAGACACAATAAGGTTATATTTAGTTTTTAAAACACTGAAAGTCATATGAGCCTACGGGGAGGGCGGGATAAAAATATAAATAATAAATAAATAATAAATAAATATGGTATGAAAAAAAGTGTTGACTGGTTGTTGTAGAGAAACGCTTGCTGCCCAGCTGGATCTGGCTGAAACAAAAGCTGAGTCTGAGCAATTGGCCCGAGCTCTCCTTGAAGAACAATGTTTTGAACTTACTCAGGAGAGCAAGAAAGCAGCATCACGAAACAGACAAGAAATTACAGATAGAGACAATATTGTAAGCCGGGTAAGTTACCGTGACAATTAAATGATGTAATATGTTTATGTGAGGCAAAGTACCCTGTTTCCTCCTAAGTGTTAATGTGAATATTAGTGGGCATACCCCAGCTTTGCAGGTGTCTTGTCCACAGGCTTGTATATCTGGTAAGGCTGGAGCCAAGAATGCGGGAATTAGTTCATAAGGTGTGGGGGGGGGGAGCAGGGGTGATGATGTAGTCTTCCAGAGAATTCCTGTGAAGATGGGCCCTGATTGGATTTGGAACATCACCTGACACCAGCAGTCCAAAGAGTATAATGGAGCTAGAGATTAAGGGAAGGGACTGCTGACTTGGTGATTTTATTGGATTGAGGTGTCTATGCTGAATCATAGAGGAGCGCTTGGCCCTCTGCTCCTTTGGACTCCGAAATTCTGTGACTGCGCCATTTAATATCAGGTATCAATATGCTCGACAGACAAGTTAGTTTTTATTGTTTTGTACTATTTAATAAAGCAGACTGTGTTGCCTTACGGTATTCTTTTCCTTTTTTGTTATCTAATAAACCTTTTCTAGTGCTTTTTAAAAAAGGACTGGTTTCTTATGTGCATGTATCTTCAGGGACCCATAGGTCTGACCACTGCTAGCCTGTTAGAGGGGCAGTGGCTCAGGGGAACCCAGATCTGGGTCTTGATAGTTTATCCTAATGTGAGTGTGATGGTTGCCAACTTTATATTTTGCATAATTTAGTAGTATTTCATAATATTATTCAGATATAAAAGTGTTGCTCTGATAGTCTGTATAGATTCTTTTCAAGCCGGCGAATCCCTGAACATTTTAGACAGGGACATGGTTTCAATGTTCATACAGAAATGCATATAAAGATTGCTCCATTCCATGAAATGATAGGAGAAACAGTTGCAGTTGAGTACCATACATACGTCAAAACTCCCTTGCCAAGGTCAGATTGCTAGATTGGTATAGTTGTTTTAAAACATTTGCTGATTGAACAAAGCAGTTGATGGGGGGGGGGTTCCCTATAATTTGCATTCTTATATAGTCAGCCCAGAGTATGCCTAATATAGGAACATCTGCTGCATCTGGTTGGAAGTTTAAATCTAAAAATTGTGGGACAAGTGAAGAAACAGGTATTGACCACATACTTCCATTTACTCGTTTTGGTCTTTGTGCATCATACTAATAGGCTTTATGCCTGAAGAGAAGAAGAGATTGGATTTATACCCTGCCCTTCACTACCTGAAGGAGTCTCAGAGCAGTTTACAGTCCCCTTCCCTTCCCCTCTTTTAAGGTGCCTCAGGAAGGATCAATCCCAATGACCAACCAGGATGAAGAAGCTGAAACATCATAGATGGACATCGCAGTTGTCATCTCCTCCTTCTATGTGTCAGAAACAGGCTCTGCTGATTGTCATGTTGACTAGTACCTTCATTTGTTTCAGCCTTTGTAGTTTACTTTTACTTTAGGACCATGACGACCATTTGGTCTCATCCCTTTCTAGCCCTCTCTGCCATAAATTCCAAGGGATGGGAGGAGTAGGTGTGAATGTCATATATCTGTGTGTATGGGTTGCGGGTGTTAGATTAGCTTTGCTTGTAACAATTTTCCCATGAGAACGGCCCCCAAGATGTCTGGCCATTGGGAGCCTCTCATCCTTGGAGAAACATCTGTTGCTGGATAATAAACTTTTGTAGTGCTGTGTAGTATGAAGGGGGGGGAGTGAAAGAGGGTGAGAGGGTGAATGCCCACTGCATGACCGTTGCATTATGGGATACTGACCTATTTCCTATACAGTACCTAACCCTTGATCTGTTCTTTAATCTGAACACGAGATCTCTCTTGTGCACATCTAAATCTCTGTTTCTAATAAAGCTTTCATGAAAGACTATTAGGCTGAGAGTGGATTAACTCAAGGGTCTGACAGTTTGTTCACACTACCATTTCTTCGACCCAGTCCCCTACCACCACTATGGGGAATGGGGACGAAGACAAAGGTAATGGTGCCAGCAGCAGTTCGGGAACTGAAGTGCCCACACCTGATGCGAAGAAGAAAACACACAAGTCCGGAGAAGCCAAGCCGAAGAAACAAGTGCTGTTCCAAGACTCCGAGCACTGGGACGATCCCGCTTGGCTAAGCGACATCCCGGGGCTACGAGGAGCGAGAGGACATTGTGAGAGGGAGCGCAGGCGTGCGTCTCGAGCCTTCCAAGACAACCCAGAGCTGGGACATATGCGAGAGGAGTGGGATGAGGAATCCTCCTCCGACAAGACTCTAGCCACCCTCCGTGCTGACCTGAAGAAACTGAAGAACGGCTACCGTTTCCTGATCAACAACTTGCCGAAGGCGATGAAAGGATTAATGGAGAGGGACGTGGCTGAATCTTCACCTGAAGAGGAAGAAGTCCCTCGTCCAGCACCCCGCTGTGGGGCTAAGGAGCGTGAGCGATCTCACGACGCACTAGAAGCTACCTTTGACGAGACCCCAGCCAAGTCAGCCTTTTTTGCCATCCAGGTGAGGAAGATGCTGCGCGAATGGGGCCATACCTCGATACAGACAAGCAGTGAGTGGATTATGTGGGGTCCCGGCTCCGTGATAGGGTAGCCGATTGGTTTGTGGGACTGTATAATGTGGCTGTCCTGGAGCTGAAGAACGTGGATGCTTTCATGCAATCCCTTCACCACCAGTTCGAAGGCCCGCTTGAACTTGAGAAGGCTTGCACCCGTTTGCGTGGGATCTGCCAAGGGACCCGATCGGTGCAAGAGTACTCGGGCAAGCTCAAAGCGACAACGGCCAAGCTGCTAGGCTGGCCGGAAAAAGTACTCATTGAATTCTACTGAGTGGGGCTGAACACCATCATCCTGGAGAGGACCCTGGCCCAAAATAACCCACTAACCCTAGCAGGGTGGATCCAAGTAATGTGCGAGGCTGAGAACCGCTATAATTTGGTGAAGCTATCTCACCAGAAGGCTCCTACTCGGGAAGTCGTCGCACAGCGTGGAGCAAGAGGCCGGAAGCCGTGGGTTCCAAGAGGCGGTGAACGGGAACACCGACTCAATAAGGGGCTCTGCCTCAGGTGTGGGAAGCCAGGGCACTTCGCAGCGGAATGCACCTGGAGTCGTAGTGAGGAGGTGAGTTCACGGGGCGAGTGGCAAAAAGGAAAGGGATGAGGCAAGAAGGGGAAGATGGCTGAGAAGAGTCTGACGTTGCCCTGGGCACTGCAAGCGGCCGAGTTTGTGTCCTCCAGCACCCCCTCCTCCAGCGATGGGGACGAGCCTCAAGTGCAGGAAAACGACAGGGACCTGCTGTGCAAGGTGTCAGCCAGCAGGTCTGCCAAACATCGGTGGAAGATTCGGTGATAAATAGTTCTTCCTTGTTTTTTGCTACTGTGACTGTATTAAACCTCGAGACCAGCACCTCTATTCGAATGCGTGCCCTCATAGACTCGGGGTGCTCTCGTGATCTCATCAGCCCCTTGTTAGTAACCGGACTCGGTGTGGCAGTAGTGAAATAGGACGAGTTGGTGGTGTTTTCCCAAATGGATGGAACCACCATGCAGTCGTGCCACTGGGGTGGGAGAGCATTGGGAACTGCGAGACTTTATAGTGCACCCCACGGCTCAGTTCCCGATGGTGTTGAGGAAACCCTGGTTGGGGGTGCACAACCCATACGTGCAGTGGAGCATAGACTGACTTTCTTAGACCCCAGGTATAAGGCGCACCAGTGGTATGCCAAATGGGGAAAGGAACCAGCCCCTGTGTGTTGGAGCGTGTATGTTTGGCGCGAGAAGAGCTGAACGCCATACCCCCTGTATATCGTGACCTAAGGAGGGTCTTAGAGGAGAAAGAGGTGAACGAGCTACCACCCCATAGAAAGACTGACTGTACTATAGCAATTCTCCCCAGTCACAAAATGCCGAAAGGGAAACTGTATGCCATGAATCCCTCCGAGCGGGAGGAACTTAAGAGGTTAATTGACAAAAACCTGGAAAGAGGTTTTATCCACCCTGCCAAGTTGTCGTTCACTGCCCCTGTTTTGTTCAGGAAAAAGAAAGACGGGGGTTTGAGACTGTGCACAGATTACCAAGGGTTAAATGCTGTCTCCATGTCAAATGCCTACTCCCTCCCCTTGATTAAGGACTTGCTAGCTGAGGCATCAAAGTGGCTGTTTTTCACCAAACTGGATCTGCGGGACGCTTACTTCAGGGTGCGCATTAGGGACGGGGATGAACATAAGACTGCGTTCAACACACCACTGGGGCAATTCGAATACATAGTGATGCCATTTGGTTTGGCTGGCGCTCCTGGCGTCTTTATGAACCTAATAAACGAGGCGCTTCACAAGCATTTGTTCAAAGGGCTGGTAGTGTTCTTGGACGACATGCTTGTGTACACACGAAATATGGACTCACACGTGAAGTTAGTGCGCAAGGTGCTGACTGCCTTGTATGACAATCACCTCTACACCAAACTGTCCAAATGCGAGTTTCATAAGACTGAGATGGATTTTCTGGGTTACCGAATAACTTAACGGGGGCTGGGAATGGATCCTAAAAAGGTTCAGGATGTACGGGGGTGGGAAACCCCGAAGACACGGCGGCAGCTGCAGAGTTTCTTAGGATTTTCCGATTTTTATAGAGCCTTTATCCCAAACTTTGCCCAGGTGTCATTGCCCCTAACGGATTTGTTGAAGACTAAGAGGAAGAGCCCTGGTGCCACCAAAGGCTCTTGCAAACTGCAATGGACGATGGAATGTCAAAATGTGTTTGAGGCGCTCAAAGCATTATTCACGTCCGAACCCATTTTGCATCATCCTGACGAATGAGCCGTTCGTTGTACAATTCAGCGCCTCTGATGTTGCGATGGGTGGCGCCATTTTACAAAAGGGGTCCGATGGGAGGTTGCACCCCCTTAGCGTACATGTCGAAAAAGTTCTCGGGGGCTGAATGTAATTGGGCTGTTTGGGACAAGGAAGCAGCGGCGGTTAAGTTGGCTCTGAGCACTTGGCGCCACTGGCTGGAGGACGTGAGATATGGACTCACCACAAGAACCTAGAAGCTCTCTGAACAACTCGGAGATTAAATGTGAAGCAGGTTCGGTGGGCAGAATTCTTTTCTAAGTTCCAGTTCACAATTAAGTACCTGCCTGGCAAGTCAAACTTTCTCGCTGATGCCCTATCGTGCTTGCCGCAGCATGCTAGCCAGAGGGATGAGGTGACAGACACTGTGTTTTCCCCAGCGCAGTTAGGGGGGGCAGTGCTCACCCGCAGCAAAACGAGAGGGAGCAAAGAGGATCCGGACTGGCTAGAGACTTCTTACTGCCGCATTCTCTCCTTAAGACCTGGAAGCTGTTGTAACAGAGGGGCAGCACCAGGAGAACGGACTTTGGATGAGGGGAGGGCAGATTTATGTACCAGAAGCCCTGCGGGGAGAGATGATGTTGCAGAGTCATTGTAGTCATTTCGGATAACTAAAAACCTTGCACTTACTCCACAGGCAGTTCTGGTGGCCGGGACATTTCCCAATTTGTGAGTAAGTGCTAAACCTGATTGATGTGCAAACGGTGTGGAGGGAAGGTGCTGTGGCACCTCCAGCCGCTGGAAACCCCAGGGTGCCCTTGGTCAGTCATTTTAATGGACTTTATAACGGATTTTCCTGAGAGTGGGGGGAAGACTGTGGTGTGGGTGGTAGTGGACTTCTTTTCTAAGCAAGCTCACTTTGTGCCGTGCAAGTCTATCCCCACAGCCAAGCAATTAACCGTCCTATTCTTGTAACATGTAGTGCTATTGCACAGTTTGCCCCACAAAATAATTTCAGACAGAGGTTCTCAGTTCGTTTCTAAGTTCTGGAAAGAACTCATGAAGCTATTGGGCATAGAAAGAGGGGTGAGTAGCAGTTATCACCCCGAAATTGACGACCAGTAAGAACGCACCAACCAAATTTTGGAGCAAGTGCTACGTTGTTACATAAATCATCAACAAAATGACTGGGTGCAATTGTTACCATTTGCAGAATACTCGTACAATAATTCTCTCCATAGTTCCATAGGAATGAGCCCGTTTAAGGCAGTGTATGGTTATGAAGGGGTCTCCCTTTCAGTGGTGGATCTCACCCAGCCTGCAGATGGGGATGGTCAATTATGGTGGTCCAATGTGACAAAGAACTGGGACGTGTTGATAAAAACTTTAAACAAGGCTAAGAAGGACTACAAGAAGTATGCTGATGCAAACCGATCCCTGGAATGGGATTTGAAACCAGGGGACTCTGTCTGTTTGTCATCCAAGAACCTAAAAGGGTTGTAACTGCACTGCAAATTTCAGCTGGAAATATGTGGGACCTTTTAAAGTGCTTTCACTTTTGGCAGTGCAGTTACAACCCTTTTAAAGTGCTTTCACTTTTGGGCCATTACGACCATTTGGTCTCATCCCTTTCTAGCCCTCTCTGCCATAAATTCCGAGGGATGGGAGGAGTAGGTGTGAATGTCATATATCTGTGTGTATGGGTTGCGGGTGTTAGATTAGCTTTGCTTGTAACAATTTTCCCATGAGAACGGCCCCCAAGATGTCTGGCCATTGGGAGCCTCTCATCCTTGGAGAAACATCTGTTGCTGGATAATAAACTTTTGTAGTACTGTGTAGTATGAAAGGGGGGGGGAGTGAAAGAGGGTGAGAGGGTGAATGCCCACTGCATGACCGTTGCATTATGGGATACTGACCTATTGCCTATACAGTACCTAACCCTTGATCTGTTCTTTAGTCTGAACACGAGATCTCTCTTGTGCACATCTAAATCTCTGTTTCTAATAAAGCTTTCATAAAAGACTATTAGGCTGAGAGTGGATTAACTCAAGGGTCTATTTCTACAGTTCCATGAAGGTACAGTTGTCCTCTTTTGGGGAAAAAGTTTTCAAATTATGGCTGTGCACAGACACAGAGCCCATCAACATGAATGCACAGATGTCCACTTTAAGAACAACAGTTACAGATAACATCATGTTTCCCCTTGTTCTGTACTTCAAAGGCATAGAGCACACACACATTGTACAAAATCTTGCACTCAAGCTTCAGATCCATATTTCAAAGTCTAATGCAAATACTTTGTCCTATTTTTTTGTTTAGCTTGAAGAAACAAACAATGCACTGACTAAAGATGTTGCATTCCTAACCAAAGAAAATGCTGAACTCAAAGAAAAGATTAAGAAAGTAGAAGAAGGTATGTCACGTTTTCAGTTTTGATGGATTTATTAAATATGAGTTCAGCCAATACAATGAAGCCTTTAAAATATTTTACCTTTACATATTTTTCAGAGCATTTATTTATTTAAAACATTTCTGTGTCGCCTTTCCATCCAGATAAAAGCAGCAGTTCCATTGCAGATGCAAATGGAATATTTTTAGGAATTACTTTATTTGCAGTGTTTGATGCTCCAAGGCTGAAAAAAGGATTGAGTTCAGGGGACATTTTAAAGATTTTGTTGGTTCTGTTAGAACTTGTGAGTTAAAAGCAAGCAAACAAAGTAATTAAGAGTTTGAGTCATTGTGTGTTGTGATAGTGGCATTCACAACAAGTTGGTGAACATGAACCTGGTTGGCTGTTCACTCCCCTTGCTCTTCCGTCCACCCCTTGTTCACAGAGTATGATCCAGTCTTCCAGATATGAGAAGCCTTGGAAAAAACTCAAGTTCTCTGCAGTGTCTGAATTCTGTGTGTGAATTGGACTTCGCTTGCCTTCCATACTCTAAAATTCTGAACTGGAATTAACTGAAAGTTTAAAGTCACTGAGGTGGGGTGGGAGGTGGGGCTAAAAAAGCTCCAGTTCACCCAGGCACTTGCATTCAGAGATCACGAGGAATTTGAATTTGTTTAAATACTTACTGAACTTGGGAACCTTGCACTCTGGTTGTGAAAGATGTAGAGGAGGTGATAGGTAGCATGCAACCACAACATATTTCATTTGGAATAGTTGCAGCAGCAAATGTCAAATTTAATTACAGATTTTCATGACATCTAAATGTACCTATTCTTTTTGTCAAGTCAAAATTCTGATTAAGAGAAATAGTTAAATAATATCCCTTTAAATTTTTTTCCATTTTAAAAGCTTTTGCATTATGGGGTTTCTGAGTTTTCACAGTAAAATTGGGCTTGTTAGTTTACACAATAAAACAGAAAAATAAGATGGAAGAGGGCTAATAAGCTGAAACTTAATCCTGATGAAACAGAGGTGCTCCTGGTGAGGGGAAGGTATGAACCAGTAACTGGGATGTCTTCTGTTCAGGATAGGTGTGTACCTCACCTAAACAAGCAGATATGTAGCTTGGGGGTGCTGCTGGATGTAAGCCTCCTGTTGGATAAATAGGTAGCAGTGGTGGCCAGGGGTGCCTTTAGCCAACTTCAGCTGGTGAGTCAGCTGCACCCATTCCCAAGCAGGAAAGATCTTGCCTCTGCGTTGCATGCCCTGGTAACATCTAGATAGATTTACAGATTTACTGTGGTGCTCTGCATGTAAGGCTGCCCTTGACGACTGTTCAGAAGCTATAGCTGGTAAGAATGCAGTGACCAGAACACTGACTGCAGTGGGACATAGCAACCATACTGCTTCAATCTTGTTCCATCTGTACTGGCCTATTGGTTTGCTTCCTGTCCCAATTTAACATGCTGATATTGACCGTTAAAGCCCTATACAGCTTGGGACCAGCATACTTGAAGGACTGCCTACTCCCATATGAACCTACCTGACTGAACCTACCTGAGGCTTAGATGGGTGGCAACCTGAGGGCCTTCTCAGTCATGGCACTGAAACTTTGGAACTGCCTCCTGAGGGAAATTCTGTCTCCCTCTATCATTTTGTTTGTGCTCCCTCACTTTCCACAGAGGTATTTGCAGTCCGAGGTGCAAAACGCAGTTTGTTCTCTCTTGTGGCGCAGCATCAGATTTCCCTGTTTCCGGGAATTCCCTTGCTGTTCCACAAGAGGGAACAAACTGTATTTTTGCTCCTCAGACTACAAATACCTCTGCAGAAACAAGCAAATGCAGCGGAGGAATACAAATGCAGGACCAGGGAGACCCATTTGTGAGGAAAACGTCTGAGTATTACTTAAAAGAGCAAAAGGGCTGGGGAAGGAGAAATCAGCCAGAGATAGCTTAGAGGAGGGGTCTAAAACATGGTGCCTGTGGGGACATGTCAGATGTTTTTAAAAAATGGGTGGGTTCAGGTTGGGCTTTTTCCCAGCAAGGCTTTTGACTGGCCATTGGAGATTTGATTGGCTGTGCATATTTTTAAAAACATTGCTTAGGCAGCAGTTGCCACCATACCACAAGGAGCTTCACCATGTAACTGAAGGTAAGCCATGGCAGCCACTTCCACCACCTGCATCAGCCATTTTGTGGCTGTATCCAACACCCTGTGTCAGCATTCCAGAAGTGATCACAGGCTCAAAAAGGTTGGGAACCCCAGCCTAAAGAATCCTAGAGGTGGACTAGCATTTCCAAATCCCCCCATAACTCCTTGTGGGACCACAGTTTGTTCCCTCTAATAATGCAGAGTTCATGGTTGAGTACATAGCACAAAGATGGTAAAAGGGCCCATCTAGGGACAAGGTCAAATTTTACTGCTGAAAGCAGTTGAAGGGAGAGGAACAATCAGAGGGAGAGGGGAAAATTGGTGTGCTCAAAATTACAGTGTAATAGTGTAATCAAATTAGTTTAGTCCCCTTCACATGTTACAGTGAAATATTTGAGAGTAGAGGAACAGAGAACTTATACAAGGTGTAATTGATTTGATGTCATAAACTGCCTAATATTTTTAACAGACTATAAACTAAAGAAAGAGGAGGAAGTCAACAGCATTAAAATGCAGTATGAAAAGAACCTGAACACTGAAAGGACCCTTAAAACTCAGGTATTTATTTTCATTTTTTTTACTGCACTGAAGTTCACAATTTAGTGCATCAAACCTCCTTTGTATGTAGCAGTGTTAATAAGTGTAAGGTGATGCACACTGGAACAAAAAAATCCCAACTTCAGTTATAGGCTGATGGGATCTGGACTTGCTGAGACTGAGAGTGAAAAAGATCTTGGGGTCATAGTAGATAGCTCAATGAAAGTGTCAGCCCAGTGTGCCACAGCAGTGAAAAAGGCAAACTCTATGTGAGGATAATTAGGAAAGAGACTGAAAATAAAATAGTATTATAATGCCCCTGTATAGATCTATGGTGTGGCCTCATTTAAAATATTGTGTGCAGTTCTAGTTATTATAGCTCAAAAAAGATACTGCAGAGCTGGAAAAATTACAGAAGAGGGCAACCAAGATGATTAAGGGGTTGGAACCCTATAGGGAAAGGCTGAAGATTCTGGGACTTTTCAATTTAGAAAAGAGACGACTAAGGGGGGACATGATTGAGATTTATAAAATTATGCAGGGCGTGGAGAGAGTTGACAAAGAGAACTTTTTCTTCCTCTCCCAAAATACTAGAACTCAAGGGCATCCAATGAAGCTGATGGGTTATAGATGCAGGATGGACAAAAGGAAATACTTTTTTACACAGCGAGTGATTAAATGTGGAATTCACTGGGGGCTTCCGGTCGAGCTAAGATGGAGGACTGACGCACTTTCGCGATTGTGCGAAGTGGGCGACGGCCGCTTTTGACAGTTTGGGCAGTTATCAGCCCAACGCATCGCTCCCCAGCGAGAGGGGGGGGACAAGCAGGCAGCAGCGCCTAAGAGAGAGTGTGAGGTTGGCGTGATTCCGCTTCGGAAGAAGCGGAAACAGGCTTTGATCTCCTCCCGCGAAGAAGGCAAGTGCCGAGCAACTCTCCAGCGACCGTTCGAGCCGGTGTACCGGTTTAAATTCTCCATCAGCCGACCTCTTGAAGATGGGCAACAACAGTGAGTGAAAAGAAGCAATGCGAAACCCGTTTTGATCGCGTAGATAACAATAAACGTCCCGCTTACCTGAACTGTGATAAAAAATAAATTGAATTAAGCGGTTGAGCGGATAAAGAATAAATATTCCCAGAACTCTGATTCCGGTAAAGAAATAGTTGATTGAAGGCTATAAAATAGCAAAAAAGCATATTGTTTAACATTCCTGCGGTGAGGACCGAGATGTGCGCGCAGCAGAGAAAACGAAACTGACGAACAGTATCGCGGGAAGATGTAGGTTGGTGTAACCAGCAAAGTATTCCAAGTGGGGTGAACAGGAAGACGACATCCTAGAAGGGTAATAACCAACAGGAAGAAACTCGGACTCTTCAAGCTGCAGGACCGGATGTGAGTGTAAGCGAACAGACGGGACCTGCAGAATGGCAAACTGACCTACTCTATCCCAATATACCATCGAGAAGTTGCGCCCGACATTTTGAGGAGGACTTCAACTTAAATTGATTTTTAAACATCTTTGAGAAGACTTTGGAAAGCGCAAATAGACGCATTTGGACGGCCGATAGTTTACCTTCTAGAAGAGGCAATTTGTTTGTG